AAATACAAAATGTATAAGAGCATGAATATTTTACCCATGTATTACAAAGCCATAGAGATTTTTGAGCAAAAAGAAAATACTTGAAGTTCTCTCTTTGTAAGATAAGTATTAATGGAGGGAAGTTATTATTTGGGTTTGGTTCTAACACTTTATGAGCCTTGGATATAAGCTAGAGGATATTGGAGAAGTTTATTGAGTTGTTTGGAGGGTAGAGCAAAATATTCACTCTTGTGTTGGATGAAATCAGATCAAACAGGAAACAGCCTAGGGTCAAGAGATACCTTCACCTCAAACCTCAGCTAAATACAGAAACAATAAAATGGTTTCATAACATTATTTATAAAGCTTTTTTTTTTAAAAAAAATCTGGTTTCAGCCAAGGCTGTGTGCCAGTTGGTATATGCCCTACATTGCAGAAGAAAGAAAGGCAACAGAATTTTAGCTGTTCTGAATAAATCTTGTTTAAACTGTATTCCAAAGGCTCAATTGGGGACAAAAGAGAGGGGCGGGGGGAAATCATAGACCCCAAAGAGTGACCTTTCCCTTGATGTTCTTGATATTTTAAATTCTGAAGTCAGTTGGCTCCAAAGCATCTGGCCTCCCATCCTTGTTTTCTTCTTTGATGGGGCTGAACAAAATAGCCCTTAAAAATCATAGAGTCGTTTGAAATCTAGTCAGGCCATCTGTTGGTACCATAATGGCAGACTTGGGCCAGTGTTTAAACATGGGTGATTAGGAATCGGTTTCTTTCTTTCTTTCTTTTTGCTGCATTTCAGAATCTGGACAAAATTTCTCCCTAGCAGGTGGTTTTTGGAAGCAGGGACCATGAAGCCACTGAGGCGGTTCTATTTACGTCTCTGCTACATCATAACCTAAATCCATAATCTGCTGTGACTCTGCCAAAGTAGAGTCCCAAAGCCAGTGCTGAGCTGATTACCATCAGGCTCATTTCCAAGAGATCCATCAGAACTCTGCATAAACACAATGCACAGTGGCCCAGTTATGTTTGGCCTGGTTGTTTGTTTCTGGCATCAGCCTGGCTTTGAGCACTATGGTAGATGGCATCTGTTTTTTCTCCAAACCTAGAAGGCCAATATCCAGCCAGAGAGATATAGCTGGCTACAATCAACCTACAACCTAGGAGAGTACCACTCAGCCATGCACAAATTGCCAGAGGGCTTTCTCTTTTAGAGTCATAGAGAAGAGATGCTGGTTGGTAGATCCAATCCATAAAAATACCTTTCCACATGTGTGCATATAATGTGTACATTTATGGTGTTATTTAGTCTTCTTAAATAGCACATATATACACATATTATATTGCATATACTATGCCACATTATAATTGTGTATGAATAAAAGCATAACTATTATATTTCTTTTTTAAAACATTTTAATTATGTTTAACTGCACAAAGGAGTTGCCATTCACCAAACCATTTATGAATACAATACATCTTGATCAATGTCACCTACCGCTCCAACCTACCCTTTTCCTTACTTAATTTTAGGTTATGTATTGAATTTTTTCATTAACAAAGCAGCATATGTATACACTGGGTCTTGATATGTGTCACCACTTAAACATCTTCCCCCCCAACCCTCCCCATCCCTTGTATTTCTCAGTTCGGTGGCATATACAATGAGTTTTTGCCTGAATTCTCCCCCCATCTCCCCTTCATTCTTCTACAGTCTCCCCTTGGCTCTCCCTGTTCCCTTGTAAGTACCCATGTTTTGTGCCACGCTAATTCCTTACCCTCAACACATAATATAGAAAACTTACCACCATTCCCTATCATATCTGAACCCACTGCTACCAATCTAAATCTAAACCATCCCCTAAAATCACCGTGATTTACTTGATGACTTCGCAGTGTTGGTCCTGCCATCTGTACCTCCCTTGGTCAGGAGGGCTAGTGTCATTCTACACACTTTACCATACTGATTTTACTTACACAGCCTCTCAATATGGACACACATAAAGTGAAATTTGGAATCTTTGCGTGTTAGCTGTAACTGTAAGGGTTGGATTTCTGCCTAGAGAAAGGCTTCATGGTAGGTCTATTTCCAGTGGCTTGTGTGAGATGTTTAATGTCTGGGTCATGCTGTGGTAAGCAGCAACCTTCTGAGAAAGTTCAAGTAATAAGAGAATAGGTATCCTATGCCTCTGACGTTAAGTTGTGAAAAACTCTATAGAGTCTGTCTTCAGCAACCTTCGAGTCCCATTGGAAAGAGAAGACATATGCAAAAATAATCAGCAATTTAGAGTACTAAAGAGTGACTAAATAGGGAGGTGCAGATGGCAGGCAAATATTGAGGAGTGATCATGTAAATTGGGGTGTTTTAGATTTAGATTAGGAGTAGTGGGTTCAGATACAATAGGAAATGATGGTAAATTTTCTATATTCTGTCTTGAGGGTGAGGAAAGAACATGAAACAAACCATGGATGAAAAGAAGACAGAACAATGTGGAAGGATTAGACCTGACTCACTATAGACAAGAAAGGAGTGTCAGATTGGTGTGGGAAAATTAGTTGGGAAGACTCTGGATGGTTCTAGAATCCTACACGATGAGATTATTCTGTTAATCCCTGAGGAAAGAAGTGCCTTTGAGTCTTTTGAGCTAGAGGAAGAAACTGAAAAGGGATCACTTAACCTGGTGGTGGTAAAGAGTGGAGGGGGAACTCTCAATGGGGAAGATGAGTTCGAAAGTGGAGCAGACACCACTGGGTGGAACAGGGGGTCTGAGGTGGGACAGTTCAGCGTGCCCCATTCCCTGCCAGCTCTGGTGTACTTGCTCTTAGCTGATAGTTCCTTTCTCTACACAGTTTCAAGAATGGTTGCTCCAGCTCTTTTACTGCTTCTTCAAAGGTGGCTTGAGGGCCAGTGGGAAACTTTTCAGGTGTCTGCAATGTGAAGTTATTTTGGCTTCTTTGGTGCCATCTTTGTTGTTGTTGTTGTTGTTTCATATTGAAGAGCTTGGCATCTTTGAAAAGCCCTCCACCTTTCATTTTCCACTGCATTGGAGTTTGTGTCCTCTCTGTAAATTCTTCCTGATAGATGGCTTGTGCCTCTCAGGTCCTGGGAACTGGGGGTGGGGTGTTGTGGTCAACAGGTGGCTATGTGTGTGCTGCTCCAGTACATGGATGTCTCCTGAGAAGCCCTGCCCTAACAGAGGAGGCCCAGCGGCAATGTTATCAAGAGGGGAGAGGTTCCTGTCAGAAGCCCATACCCCCCAAAGCACATCAGGTTCAACCATTTTACCAGGAAGATGCACAGGACTCAACACATAGCCCTCATGCATGGCTTATTTCAATGCAGAGCCTTTGCTTTGTGAATGGGATGAAGCCTGGAAGAAACCAAGCACAAACCCCTCAGTGGAGTCACCTGGGTTCCACTGAATTCTTCCAATAGTACGTGGTGAAGCACAGCTGAAGTGTTGCCCATCAGTCTCCATAGACACCCAGTGCCCAGGCGGAATCAAAGCTTGTTCCCATGAGTTATGCAAGTGCTAATAGCACATGCTGAGGTTCCAGACTCCCAGAAGGAAAGCAGGTGATCAACTAAACGGGGCATATAATTTAGGCCCAGTGAGCCACTCTAGCTACACTGAGAATTGGGGGGAAACTCTGAAGTCCAAGTTCTCAAAGGTGCCTTCCAAAGGTGCCTACCTTTTTAGCATCTTTTCTTAAGGGATTCTTCAGCTTGCTGAGTTAACTCTTTTCTGTATGGAGAATGAATGACAGGTATTAAACTGTTGAGAAAGAGTAGTTGATGAGTTAGTTTTTCCAAATCCAAGAAGAGTCTGACATTAAGAAATCATGTCTTAAGGATTCTGTGTCTTCTGTACTGGCAAAAAGGAGGATCAGAGGAGCAATGACTGAGCAATCATTGAGCCAATGTCCCTGTGCCAAAGGCCGAGGGTTGAAGAAGACTTCTGATAGCATGGTGGGCACTAGAAGAGGAAAGGGAATGGAAGGGGGCAGAGAGACTTGAGAGCCTATCAAGAGCAGTAGACTGGCGGTGGCCACGGCCTCTGCCAAATGCCATTGAACATTGTTTCGTAACATGCTAATTAGCTCCTACTTAAATTATCTGTGCTCACAAAGGAAGCCTTATTTAGCCAGTACCTTGAATAACTTTCCTTCCCATTATGTATTTTTGTTTTCTTTTGACTGCCTTACAAAAGCTCTATTAAAAAGACAAAAAAATGTTTACCTCTACGTCTCATGTTTGGACTTGGATTGAACAGGCAGACAGAAATGGCTGAGCTTTGGAGTGGAGGGGGGAATTCTTGGAGCATTTGCTGCATTCTTTTCTTTGGTAAATATGGAAGAACAGCAATAGCTGTGATCACCTCTTCCGTTCTTGGTGGAAGGGTTAATCCTCATGCTCTAAGAGGATTGGCTTTTTGCAATTCCATGGCTTCTACCACTGCTTATTGGTGAGGAATAATGAAACCTAAACACTGTTGCTTTAGGAAGCAGGAATCTGAAGGGTATGATTTAATTTTATCACCACATCCCTGCACTGCTCCCTGACTTGTAGAAATTGTCTCTCTGTTATTTACGTTTTCCATTTCTGGGTTCTCAGATACTAATGTTGGATGGAGCCTTTGCGACATGTGATGGTTATTTTACAGGACCAGGTGAACCAAGATGACTTTTTGTTGTTGTTGTTGTTTGGCTTATAATAAAAAGGTATCAAATACACTTAAATATTAGAAGCGACTCTTTTTGTGTGGCTGGCTCAGATAAGTTCACAGTGTAGGAAACACCAGTTCCTCCTCTCTCTCCCACTCCAGATGGTTCAGAGATAGAAAATCATTCTGTGGCCAGAAGGTGGAGAGCACAGAGCTGAAGGTAGCACTCCCAGTCCTGGTTTTTATAATAGTAGTGGGTGACGATTCTGGCCTTTTTCACTTCTTTGAACTTCTGGAGGGCAAGTGTGGGCTGTAGTTAAGTTGGTTTTAAATGCTCTGTCTCTTGTCCTGATACCCCAGGGTTTCCAGCAAAAGTTCTCCTTCCACAGTAAAGAGATCGTGGCCATCAGCTGTTCCTGGTGCAAGCAGGCGGTAAGTCTGGGATAAAATTAAGCAATATGGGCTCACAGAGGATCACGATAGACTCACGTCATTGCTTGAGTCCCTGACTGCAGGTGGCAGGTTGTCAGGGGGCCCAAAAGGAAGCTCAAGGGCTTCGAATCCTGTGTGAGGTCTGGATGTTATTGTAATTATCCATGAGCCCAGTGTTTGTTTAGGAGACTAAGGCCATTTCCCCACTTACTGTCCTTTTGTCAGTATCCCCCCTCCCACGTATAAGTACATACATCTTCTGTTCAAACAAGATACTCCCTTATTTGGTTTTCTACCTGTGTTTTCATTGCAGTGATGCTAGTTGGGTCTGACATAATAGCTGACACCTATGTTTATAAATAAAGGTTTATTGAAACACAGCCACACCTAGTTACCAATGTGTTATCTGTGGCTGTTTTTCGTTTATATATTGTCTGTGAGTATTTTTATACTCTAATAGATGAGGAATCGGTTGACAGGCTTAAAATAATTAGCATCTGGGTTTTGGAAAAGGAAAGAAAGCTTGCCAACCCCTATTCTCATCTCTTAGTCAACCTCTATCTTTTAGTTTTGTCTTTGAGACAAGGTTTTATTATGTATCTCAGGCTGGCCTTGTACTTGATAGCTCCCTGCTATCAAGCCTTCTGAGTACTGGGATTATAAGCATGTGCCACTGTGCCTGATTTTCTTCTTACTCTTTAGAATGGCTGTATGGAGTGGTGTTTTTTTGCCCCTTTATTATACAGGGGACCTAAAAGCACAGTCTATGATATCATAGCTAAATTAAGGGCTTTCAGGTAGCCCTATTCCTCTACATAGATCACATCGAACTAGCCACATAGCCCATGGGACTGGAACAAATGCATTTACTTTGAAACAACCATAACTGACCTTCTTTTCCTTTAGTGATGCTGGGATTTGAACTCAAGGCCTTGTACTTGGGTAGGCAAGCACTCTACCATTTGAGTGATGCTTCCAGTCAGATAGGGTCACACACTTTTTCCCCAGGTTGTCCTTACAATTTCTTCCTCCTAAGTAGTTGGCTTACAAGTACAAGCCACAGTTGACACTTGATGCTACAATTGACACCTTCTTGTTTTACATTTAAAACTATTTGTATTGTAGCAATTCCATAAGGTCCAATCTTATATTCTTCCTGATATATTGTCCTTAGGTCTCCACATGCTTAGAGAACCCACAGTCATTAGAGAGGGTCTCATTCATCTGGGGAGTTTAATGTGTGCTCCCAGCTTATTTGGCCATCTTTTTATTCTGGCCTCTGTTGTCTTTGTACTAGCTACCCCTCCCATAACCTTTGTGCTTTGGTTCACATACAAAGGCATTCTAAGTTTTGTTTTTTTTTTAGGTAGTACTGAGTTTTGAACTCAGGGCCTTAAAGCTGCTGGGCAGTTGAGCCCTTTTGGGGTTGGTTTATTTTTGACATAGTGTCTTGCTTCATTCCCATGACAGTCTAAACTGTGACCCTCTTATGTGTGCTTTCCCACGTCCCTGGGATGAGAGGGATATGTGCATCTCTACACCCAGCCATTGTGTGTATTTTGTAGCCTGGGATGACAGCCACATAGCACCATTCCCAGCCATTGGTCAAGGTAGAGTTTTCACAACCTTCCTTCCTTCCTTCCTTCCTTCCTTCCTTCCATCCTTCCTTCCTTCCTTCCTTCCTTCCTTCCTCCCTTCCTTCCTTCCTTCCTTCCCTCCTTCCCTCCCTCTCTCCCTTCTTTCTTTCTTTCTTTCTTTTCTTTCTTTCTTTCTTTCTTTCTTTCTTTCTTTCTTTCTTTCTTTCTTTCTTTCTTTCTTTCTTTCTTTCTTCTTTCTTTCTTTCCTCCCCTTCCCTTCCCTCCCCTCCTTTCCCCTCCCCTCCCTCCTTCCCCCTCTCTCTTCCTCCCTCCCTCCATCCGTCCCTCCTTCCTTCCTTCCTTTCTCTCTCTCTTCTTTTCTTTCTTTCTCTCTCTTTCCTTCTTTCTCATTGTCTTTCTTCCAGCTGGCCAGGAACCATAATCTCCCCTGATCTCTGCCTCCAAAATAGCTAGATTACAGGCTTAAGTCTCTCCATTGACAATCTGAGTCATCAAGGCAATGTCTTCATCTGATCCCTAATGATGTCTGTGCTGTTGGTGTCCCTGATGATACCCACTGGTGGGATGGCGTGGTGGGCGGGCTTCCTTGGATAGGCTGTATTTACTCCATTTAGTCAGCAGACTAGAGTCACTTGATTTATTTAGGGTTTATTACTTAACCCCGCTTTACAGTGATCATGTGATCCCTTCATCTGTAGTCCAATTGAGTCTCTACAACCCCTCCCCCACCATCCACTTGACTATTATGTCACAGTGTTCTTAAATTTCCTGATTTCTTATATTGATTTTTGCAATGAATATAAATATGAAATATTTTGTCACAAATATCAGTAGCAGAGATACAGTTTTAGTAGGGTAGGTGATCCTTCTAAGGTATTTGATGGAAATAAAAAAAAGTGAGCCTCTGTGGTTTAGGAGAAAGAACTGTGGGTTGTGAGATGGATTTCATACATTTGAGTCTTAGATAATCTCCAGTCTATAGATTGGAGACTATCAAGCATGATAATCTAAGACTTTTCCCCTTTTAGAAATGCAAGATCTATGCACTATGCTGATTTGAATTGTTAAAAAAATAATCAATTGGGAAAATAGATATTCAAACAACATTCTTCAAGTATGGTGTTTTTCTGATGTAATTGTTTGCAGAACATAAGTAACTGTTAGCAGGGAGAATTCCTAATTATTTTATCAGTAAATTATCCTTAGTTGGCTGATTACTAATTAGCCCCTCCAGATCTTGAAGATATACAGAAAGGAAAACAAAGTCCTGATGGATGTCATGTAATAAAATTAGGGTGATCATATTTGCCAGCTTTTCAGCTAGAGAGACAGAGAGAGAGAGGGAGAGAGTCCTAATTTACTTCTGTCATTCCAACATAGTTATTATCAGTCATCTCCTTCTTTCTGAAATTGTCTTAGTTAAAATGATAAATTACATGCTCACAAATAAGTGTAATCCAAGTAGTAAATTAAAAAAATCACTATGATTAAGATTTAAAGCTCCTTATTATCGTATGATGTTGGTTTTATGTTCATTAGAAAACAAATTTCACTGCATGTCGCTATCACTTTATAGTTACCAGGTGACTGGACTACCCCACAGCTGAGATCACCCCTCAGCCTTTTACACCGAGGGACTCCTAGGCTTATTCCTCTACCCCTCCTTCCTTCATTTATAAAGCAAGAAAACAAACCTCTTCAGACTTGCCAGGCATAATAGGATCACTTTAGCTTTCTTAAAGACTCTAGGCAAATCCAGCAGAAGCAAGCTCTTCGTACTTTGCTACCTCCGGATTAACAGCTTTCTAGAAGAGTCTCTTTTCCTGGCTTTCCTAAACTGAGAAGACAACCTGGGGGAATATACATCAATGATAGACAAAGAAAAAGCCAAGAATGGGAACTTCCTGTTAGCTTATCTTTCTTTTCTTTTCAATATTATCCTTAATCAGCTCAGTCTGTAATCAGCACAAGTGCAACAATTAGGATGAATAGAACTGTGCAAATTAGGATTAATGGAACTGTCCTAGACCCTCCATATCTATATGTACATATATAATTATTATACTTATTTATATTTTATTTTATTTATTTATATCTTTAATTGTACATAATTATATATAAAATCAGCTTACATTAGGTCTACAGAGGGGAGTTTATTGTTCCATTTCCACCCATGTCAACAAAATATTAACCTTCAAGAATCTTTATATAATATTCTATTAAATAGAAGGTTTTAGTGAGCCTCAGCCTACTATATGAATATCTTTCTTGCTTTTTCTTTTCTTTTTTTAATCTTTAAGCAGTTGCACAAAAAGAGTTTTAATTCAATAGGCCAGCTTACGAGTACAATGCTGTATGGATTTCTTGTTAGTAGTTGGAAGAGGTGTGTGCTGGGCTTGAGTTAGGTATCTGAGCGTCTGATCTCTGAACTCCTGGGACTGACTGGTTGATGATGAGAAGCATATGTTCTTAGTGATTCTGTGTTTGTGTGTGAATGTGTGTGTGTGTGAGAGAGAGACAGAGAGAGAGACAGAGAGAGACAGAGAGAGAGCATGCGTTTATGCATGTGCAAAGTGTGTATCTGTACTTACTCCTGATGGCTATAGCGTTACCTCCGGCCCAGAGTTGCTTATGAGCCTGTTTTTCTCTTTAGTTTCACAATAAGGTGACCTGCTTCATGCTGCATCACATAGAAGAACCCTGCTCCCTGGGGGCCCACGCTGCTGTTATTGTCCCGCCCACCTGGATCATTAAGGTGAAGAAACCTCAGGTAACTGCCAGGACCCTGTTGCTGTTGGGCTCCTACCAAGAAAAAGTAACTACTGCAACTTGCTTTTACTTCACCTGAACAGTCCTAGGGTTCCTCCATCCTCTGCTTCCTCATCCCCTAGGTCCCATGCTTAGCTTCCAAAATCAGCCCATTGGCCCAGCACTGGACTGGGACAGGTGGACCCACCCCCCTGACACGGGAAATCCAAGTTCCAGGTCAAGAATGTTTCCTCCCACTCATGAGCTATTCACACTGTCCTTGCTGGCAGCTCTCTGCAGTCCCACTGGATTGTGGGTACACATCTCTCTTCTCTTCCAGCCTGGGGGTCCCCAGGAAGCCCACTGAGGGCAGGCGGTGCAGGCTTCATGGTTTGGTTATGATTGTTACCACATCCAACCAGAAAGACATACCAAGTTGCAGTCTTCTGCTTGCTCACAGAGCAACACACTTTCCTTTAGGCAAAGCTGAATTCTGTCTCTGAGTATCTCTCTTCTATCCTTATTCTCCTGAGTGTATTTCCAGTGATGCTCATAGCCTCTGTCTCATTCTGAAAACCAGAGTGGTTTCTTGATGAGGTCGTAACCTTAGCTAGAGACTTTCTTCCTTTGTGTTGTACATCTGAGACTGTTAGCGCTAAGTTATGGGCTGACAGACCTCCAGCACTATGTGAGGAGAAAGAGAGAGAGATCATTTATTTCTAGGATGTGGTATCTTTAAAGATAGGATAGTTTAAACTTCCTGTGGCATCTGAAGTCATCATGTGATATATTCTTATTGACTCAGTTTTATTTAAAAACTCATGTGTCAAAGATACTATTTTGTTATATGTGCCTCATATAGTTAATCTCTGTTGATTAGTAATATATAGGAATATTCTTCCTGTTTATAATCCAGGGAGGCCTTTGAAAGATTCCCCCCCCCCCGCCGCCTCCCCGCACTGGGCAAATATGGCATCTACATTTTAAAGTCTTTCCTTTTACATTTTAGAATTAAATGCTAAGATGTGTGAAATGAGTCACCCAAGGTGACAGACCCAATTATATATACATTCTGTTGTCTGAAACTCAGGAGTACTAGACTCCATTTTTTTTAAATCTCTTTAATGTTTCTTTCTTTTTTTTTTTGACAGTACTGAGGTTTGAACTCAGTACTTGGTATTTGTTAGGCAGGAGCTCTATCACTTGAACCAGGCCCCCAGCTCTTTATTTTTTCCAACAATTTAGTAATGTTTCCAAGACTTTTTTATCACATCACGTATTTATTCAGTTAAATCAGAATCTGTGGACCGAAAGCCTAGGTTGTATCAGATGGTCTATACACCCCGTGATAGCGTGTGTGGGCATTGTTCTGAAGGGCTGGGGGAGTTGTCTGAAGGGGAGGCTGAGGAAGCTGTGCGGGGAGCTGGGTTTGATTCTGCATCTCAAAAAATGGTGGTAGAGCACTACACTTGAGTAAAGAAAAGTCAGAGACAGCACCCAGGCCCTGAGTTTAAGCCCCGGGACTGGCATGTGTGTGCATATGTGCACATGTGTGGGCGTGCGCACGCGCGCACACACACACACACACACACACACACACACACAAATTGTTTCAGAAGGAAAACCTAGCAAAAGTTTGTAAGATGACCTAGTGAAAAAAGATTATAGTCCTGCCAAATAGGGAGTGAACTGTTAGCAGAGTTTCATTATTAAACAAATGGAAAGAAAAATAGAGCAGTTATTAATACTGAGATCTATAGACATTGAAAAAATGATAGGTATTGTGAAAAGTCCTTGGGCTTATGAGTGGTAGTTAATAGTCAAAGCTATGGTTTATAGAGGGTAAAAATTAATTAGCCAGCTATTAGCAAGAACTTGGAGGTATTCATAGTAGATAATTCATTAGAGACTTTGAATAACTTAGAAAAAGAGAATTTGTAAAGTAGATAAGGCAGTGTAAAATGTCTTTTCAGAAAGCTTTGAGATTTTATGTACTTATTCTGTATATCTATATCCATGTATTTTTATGTTCTATTACACTGCTCCAAAAATAAATACTAATGATATCCTAAATTAAGTAAATAATTAGCCATGTCCAAAGATGCTGTTATAGGGCATATAATATCTAAAGATAATCAGATGAGCTTTCCTTCTACAAAGAACATTCTCCTAGAATGTAGGAAGAACTATGGAAGTCAGTGAGCAGAGTACCTGTGGATAGTGGCTTCTTGCCTTCTGACAAAGAGTACTTCTTGATAAACTATGCATCCTTGGGATATATACATATAAGAGGGGGAGAGCAAAGACGTAGAGAGTTCGGTTCAGCTGTGTTGACTGGATACGATCTATCTACTTCCTCAGTGGCCAGTGCCACCCACGACAGAGACACACTGTGGAAATATAAAGCATGAGTGAGAAATTCAGTTGTGGGGATCAGGAGGCCAAATGGAAAACATGCCATTCACGCTTGACCTGGAAGAATGTGGGTCAGGGTCGTTAGGAGGAGAGATGAGGACGGACCGTGTAAGCTGACAGAACATATTGGGAGCAGTGAAGATTGATTATTAACTAAAGCCAGCTGTATTTAGATGTTCAGGTCAAAACAACTCTAAAGTGAAGTAAATAAAATCTAGTTGATCAGATAGTAATTCCCTTAGAGATACTCTATAAATGCCCAAATCCATGGATTGGGCTAAACCCCATGTATACTATGGTTTATTCATATATATATATTTTTCCCCATGATAGTTTAATTTACAGATTAGGCACAAAAAGAGAGTAATAACAATCAATAATAGGGGGCTAGGAGGGTGGCTCAGTGGTAGAGCACTTGCCTTGCATGCCTGAGGCCCTGGGTTCGATTCCTCAGCACCACATAAGCAAAAAGAAAAAAGCCGTAAATAGCGCTGTGACTCAAGTGGTAGAGCACTAGCCTTGAGCTGAAGAGCTGAGGGACAGCGCCCAGGCCCAGAGTTCAGGCCCCATGACTGGACCCCCCCCAAAAAAAAATCAATAATAGAACAACTATGATGATATCATGTGATAAAAGTTGTTTAAAAATCAGAAATTTTTTAGTTGTTGTTTTGTTTTTTTGTTGTTGTTGGTCCTGGGGCTTGAACTCTGGGCCTAGGTGCTGTCTTTACATTCTTCAGCTCAAGGCTAGCACTCTACCACTTGAGCTACAGCACCACTTCCAGTTTTCTGGTGGTTTATTGGAGATAAGAGTTTCATGGACTTTCCTGCCCTGGCTGGCTTTGAACTGTGATCCTCGGAGCTCAGCCTCCTGTGTAGCTAGGATTACAGGCGTGAGCCACTGGCACTAGGCCAGAAGTTTTATTTCTGGCATTTTCCATTTAATATTTTCAAACCAGAGTTGGTTGTGGATGACTGAAATGGCAGAAAGTAGCACATCAGATAAGGAAGGTCTCATAAAGAGACAGAGTAAGATGACATCCTTTCCATCCCTTATAACTTGGCTAGCTTGGAGTCACTCAAGACTCCTGGAGCAGCCATAGTGGGAGCTGTGTAAAACAAGGGTAGGTTGGGCGATTTTCGTTAGTTAGAAAAAAGAAATTACTAGAAGTTAAAAAAGGGTTGAATATACACAGATGATTTTTAAAGAATTCAAATGAGCCAGGTTCCCATGGCTCATGCCTATAATCCTAGCTACTCAGTAGGCTGAGATCTGAGGATGGCGGTTCAAAGCCAGCCTGGGCAGGAAAGTCCGTGAGACTCTTATCTCCAATAAACCACTAGAAAACTGGAAGTGGTGCTGTGGCTCAAGGCGCAGAGACAGCACCCAGGCCCAGAGTTCAAGCCCCACAACCACCAACAACACTTGAGCCACAGTGCCACTTTCAGTTTTCTAGCAGTTAATTGGAGATAAGAGTCTCATGGACTTTTCTGCCTGGGGTGGCTTTGAACCGTGATCCTCAGATCTCAGTCTCCTGAGCAGCTAGGATTACTGGTGTGAGTCACTGGTGCCCAGTCTGTTGACATATTTTAAGATCCAACTTATTCATAAAGTTACAGGCATCAGTGTTTCTTCCCTGGAATAAGCATATTAGAGGAGAATATTTTGATCGAATGAACAGTGTGAAAGATACTCAGACCCCAGTTCATACACTTTGAGCTGATGGAGAGAGACCCACAGCATGTGAGTTCTTCTCAGGGTAGGGTTGTGGAAGACAAGGCTGACAAAACTTTCATAGAAGTGTCACAGTGTAAGACTGGATCTATTGCGGGGAAAAAAATTATCCACACTTGGGCCACTGACTCTTCCACGCTGTCACAGTTCTGTAGCTTCTCCACTTATTTCAATGGGTTCTACAGACTTCTGGAAAGATCATGAAACAGTCGTTTTCCTGATTAAAGTCCCCAATACAGAGACTTCTTAACACTGAGTCAGAACCATATGTTTCCTTTGACAGGATAATAACACCCAGGCTTGTAGTTGAGCCTTTAATTTGGAATGAGTAATACATAAAATATTTTCTCTGTAAAAAACAAACTTTTCAGATGAAATAGTCGCTTTTCATCAATGTTTAAACGTTTAAGAATCTCCCATATCTTTCCATGATGTATCCCTATGGAATTTTACTAGGGAAAGAACCTTACAAGATAATGCAAAGTGACTGTAGGGTCATGTGTATTTAATCTGACACCAATCTAAACAGATTGCCTCCAAAGTTGCTAAGTAAAGAAAAAGAAATGTTGGGCAATCTTGTCTAGTGGATCATACAGACAAGTCATTTAAAATCTCTTTGTATATCCTATATTATGGGTGGTAATAGTTTACTTAGTCTTATCACTACCAATAAATGTTTGTATTGTTTTTAATCATCTACTGATGAGCAGTGCTATGTCCATCTCTTCCTAACTGTGAATGAACTCTGTGCATGCTAGCTTTTTTTTTTTTTTTTGCCAGTCCTGGGGCTTGAACTCTGGACCTAGGTGTTGTCTCTGAGCTTCTTCTGCCCAAGGCAAGATTTCTACCACTTGAGCCACAGTGCCACTTCTGGGTTTTTTTTGAGTTTATTGGAGATAAGAGTCTCATGGACTTTCCTGCCTGGGCTTGCTTCAGCCCCCTGAGTAGGTAGGAATACAGGTGTGAGCCACTGGCACCAGCATGATAGTCTTTTATATTAAAAAAATCTTATTATTTGGATAATTCTTAAATTCCTAAGGACCTGCATAAAATAGATAACTTTATGCAATGGCTAACAGATATCACTCAAAAATTGCCAAGCCATTTCCTTTAGTGAATTCTAGAGGTCATTCAGTTCTTGTGATTTAGCTAAATATGGCTACCTGGAACTCTTAAGACTGTGCCCTTGATGTCTGGGGTAAGTGTTCTTTATTCTTCTGCTCACTCATTCAGAGGACCCCCTTTGTGGCAGTGGGCAGCAGGGGCCATAGCAGGAAAGCTTCGCAATCCTGGTTTCCGTGCCCCAGTCTCCTACACTGTCAGCGTTTTGAGTTTTGTACATCATTTTGTGGGAAGACGTCCTTTGAGATGGTAAAATGCTTTATCTTTTGTTTTGAGACCTGTTATTTCAACCAGCTGTCTGTGATCCCATAACCAGGAAAAAAAAATCCCTCAAGAGTAGCAAGAGCTAAAGTTTCATGCACAGTTGAGTGATTCATCCATAAGTATTGCCTAACAGCCTAGGAAAGAGCCATGACTAGGAAAAGGGTTTTGTTGATAGGATTACTTCTAGGCAAGGTGAGATTGTCCTGGCTTTCTGGTCCAAGAAAACAGAAGACTTTTTATCTTTTCTTAGATCTTTCCCAAACAAAAAGAGCAGGCACAAAATGTTCAGGGGGTAACTTCTACTGAAATCAGAAAGATACAAAAACCACTATTGATCTTGCCCAGGAAGTCCTTTGAGTTGTTGAGTTGGCTGCCCTTGATGTTTTGGGAATATTTGACAAGTAGAAAAGTTCCTCCATTCTATCACCAACAAGCCTTCCCAATCATTTCTTCCCATACTCTTGCTTTTTTTGTTTTTGTTTTTTTCTATTTTTTATTTTTGCCAGTCCTGGGGTTTGAACTCAAGGCCTGGGCACTGTCCCTTGTTTTTGCTCAAGGCTAACATTCTACCACTTGAGCCACAGCACCACTTTTGGCTTCTTCTGTGTATGTGGTACCGAGGAATCGAGCCCAGGGCTTCATGCATGCTAGGCAGGCACTCTACCACTAAGCCACATTCCCGACCCCGCTCTTGCATTGTTGCATGCACACTACATTGTTGAATGCACACACACTGCCAGCTCAGGCAGGACAGTGATAGATGAGTGTAGATGAGTGATGGTAGCTTAATCAAGCCTGAGAGTCATATCAAGACTTCCTTCATGTTATCTGTTTCTCACTGAATCATGCTACCTGCTAAAGGAAATCACATAGTCAGACAGTCATCCATTTACACAAAGGGAAGGGAGCCTCAGGAATTGTGAGGCATGCTGGGAAATTCTGGACTATTTTCTGTCCCTGTTAGACCATCCCTAGGGCTGTTGCTGTTCCCAGGTACTGAAGTCAACCCCTGTGTTTGTCTTTCTGCCTTATTTGTTCTGCCAGCCACAGAAATGCCTCGGGTGTGTTTGTCTCGATAAGCCTAAGAAGCATTTGTATTCTCCGTATCCGTGCTTAAAAAGACTGTTGTGTGTCTGTTCTCAATTAGAGCTGAGTCCCTTGTATCCTGTTTTCAGATGTCAAACCTCATGTTTGATGTGTTTTTCTGTTTCCCAAGTGTGCTCAGTCAGCAAAACCATCTGCTGATGGTTCTGTGATCAGACTAGTTTAAGAAACTTCCTTACCATCTTGGCCTGATCCAGCAGATCTATGTCTTGGAGTGGAAAGCTTGAGTCTTGTCAAGAAGTAAAGTCCACGGGGTGTTCCTGCAAGGATTTGGTCTTCCTGCATTGTTCTTCGCACCAACTAAGCTAAAACTAGAAAGAAGTTAGGGGCATTACTCACTTCTGAGCATCCATTGCAAATCAGAAGAGGCTCAGGAAGTGGTGTGGACTCTAATTCTATTTACCTCTTGTTTCAATGATGATTCTAATACATTCCCTCGCACCAAGCATGTATGATAGGTGTTGGGGCTGAAGAGCTATGAGAGAGGTAATAACGTTCATTCAAGTCCATGTCATGGGATGTATGGCAAAATGGTTGCTTCACATGCTGTTCTCATTTAGGCATCACAGCGGTCTTGGGAGTAAGGTTTTGCTACTGTATCTTAAAATTAAAAGACTGTGGTTTGGAAGACTCAGCCGAGGTAATAAGAGCTGATCAGAGGGAGATTCAAAATTCCCACAAAATCTGTCAGATCATCCTCTCTCCTCCCCATCTTCTGCTTCACTGTGCTCTGCACATTTTGCTCTTCTCTCCTTTGAACCAAAGTTCCTAGCCTTGGGCTACATGATACAATCCTGTGTGGAATTTGGGAAAGTATCCTTGCTTAGGATCTACCCACAAACAGATTAGGAAATCATACTCAACAGGGTCTGGGTTTGAACACTTTTTCATAAGTCCATGAGTGAGGCTATGATATAATGATGGTTGAGAAAGGCATAGAGCATCACTGACAACAAACAGATACTTCTCTTCTAGTCTGATGATTCCCGGCCGTCTTCTCAGACCATGTGGCTGATTCAGCTTTTCCAGATTCTAGATCATCTTTCTTCCCTTTCAGCACAAAGTAAAATCTGTCAAAATATAGCACATGCTTTCATCATGCAAAAGAGACAAGAACATGAATGAAGAAAGGCTCATTTAACCCCAGGGTCTAGGAATATAGAAATTCCCTTCAAGAGAAATATCATCCACAGTGAGTGAAGGGGACTCCCCATGGCTAGAAAGCAGTCACTAGCTCTGGATCGCTTTTCTGGAGAGAACATGCGCTTCTGAAGACGTTTTCTTTTAATCTGATGGGGGAAGAAAATCTGGGGTCACTTGATGGATCCTGAAAATTTCCTTTGTCCTTGGTGAACACAAGTCAACTTTCAGTTTTGTGTGTTGGGTCTAAATCCAAGTCAAAATGAAATGAAAGTGAACTAGTTTGGATCTTGTTAATTTTGCACTTTAGCTTATGTAATCTAGATGAAATTTTATTTGAATGCTCTAAAAAAACAATCCTAAGAAGTTGAAGGTGTGATGTTCAGATTTCTTCAGATTATTTTGAAAACTTTTAACTGCTTAAACCATACAAGTGTGTGTTCATATATAAACTTCTAAGTTAAGAATTCTGCATTTCAGGCTTTGAACTTGGGCAAACATCTATTATATGGTCAGTACTGTCTTTGCTTTGTGAAGATGCACTCTGATTAATTATTGAGTCTTCTGATTAAACCTGATTTTTGTCTTGTCTTCAACCAGTCAGCTGTGAGTGTTCTCTCAGCATCTGTAGCAAATACGGAGTCAATGGCTAGTCTGAATTAGTCACAAAATTGTGGTCCATAAAAAATCCCTAGAAAGAGAAAGTGAATTTGAGGGTCCCTGTATTGCAACAAGTTTGAGATACTTCCCTGAGAAGAAAAAGTCAAGACTAGTAGGAGAGGGAAGACTTTTAAAATTTCCATGAGCCTTTAAACAGAGAGAAAGAAAGGAAAATGACTGCCACTCCACTCTTACAAATAACTCCAGGTGAGTCAGAGCCCCGCATTGAAGAAGTTAGAATCACTGCTGAGATCTTAGACTGTGAAGTTCCGTTGGAATCAGGATTCACTTCATAACTATGACTATAAGAGACTAGTAAAAACAAATTGTAAAAGAAAAAAAAAGTAAAGAGAAAGCAAGGAAAAGACTTAAAAGAAAAACATGAAAAAAATGGCCTCCTTTTTTACATTTCCACATAGGTGATCTCCATACCAGGAGATGAACTTGAACTTGGTTGGGCGGGAGACGGACCTGGTTGGGCGGGAGACTGGAGCCCCTCAGAGAATTTGGGATTCTTCCATTTTTACTGGGAGGGTTGGCAGGTATACCATGTGTTGTCATGTGAGTCCATGAGAGCCTCAGGCCTCTTACCCCCTGCCCTGTCCGGGGCGAGGAGTCAGTCGCTCACTCCGAAGCACTGGTTTCTGTGTGTGGCTTCCCCATCAGAGTGGCTTGGCAGTGTGAAAGCATGAGCAGCACGCCGCATCAGCATGCGCTGCCGTCATCTCCTACCTGGTTCTGCATGGTGCTTCCCAGCCCTCGGCCTCCCGGGGCTCAGGCGCTGCCTTCTCTCCCTACAGAACTCCCTGAAGGCCTCTAATCGGAAGAAGAAGAGAACCAGCTTTAAAAGGAAAGCCAGCAAAAGGGGGACGGAAGTAAGTGTTTCTGAGTGGGGGGTGCAGCTTCTTTTTCCTAATCGATTCTAGCTCAGGCACCTGGCCCAGGCTTAGTGCTTTCCTAGGGTATCTCCTCTCCTGGTTGGTTCTTTTACTGCCCTCCAGCCACACCTCATTTCCTGCTGGTCGGAATAAGTTACTGATGATGGACTAACTAGATCAACCAATCACCAACCCCACTTCTGCCCCTTTGGAGTCAGAACATTTGCCTTTGCCTGGAAATGTTACCCTGAAGAGGATGATGATGAAGCAGTGTAGCTTAAGATAATGATGATGACTATCATTGTGAGGTTTAAAAGGTGTTTGGGACTTAAAAATAAATATATTAAGAAAAGATGGTGATGGTGATGATGATGATCACTAGCACTTCTAGGATTCTTGGAGTACACAGAATAAAAATCAAAGGAATGACCTGACTCTCTGGAGCAAATTATGATTTGAGATACTTTTCTTCAAGTTATATGGATATCCCACACTGGGTGGGGAACTTTTTTTTTCCTACCAAGGGCCATTTTATAGCATCATTAGAACCATACAAAATTATTAATAGATGGGTCATGGACGACCAATGAGAAGCATAGACACACCTGTATGTATCATGTACCTCACAATTAGGCCCGCAGGTCAGACTCCGCCAACCCCTGTAAGGTACAGGGTTTGGGCTGGGGTGGTGGTGATGGTGGCTCTCTCTTCCTTTGCACTGGAGTTGTCTTCATGCTGTGAGGGATGTCAATCCTAATAGTGCTGCTTTTTTTTTTTTTCTTCTTTCAGCAGGAAAACAAAGGGCGCCCTTTTGTGATAAAGCCTATTTCCTCTCCTCTCATGAAACCTTTGCTTGTGTTTGTGAACCCCAAGAGCGGAGGGAACCAGGTGAGTCACCCCGAACAGGGTGAGCAGTTGATAATTTCTTGAAAACACAATTCCTGGCACCACAGGAAGTTATTCCACTCGGAGCATTGGAATTTCCCAGGACAAGGCGATTGCTCTGCTGGACAAGGCAAAGCCTAGAAGTTCTGCAGTGTATCCCTCAGCTTCTATGTTAAATGGGACCAGAGGGCCTTCCAAAACCTAAGTGCTTAACTCTTCTGTCCTGATCTTCAAGGCAATCATTCCAGAATTTCTCTTAGCTAATATAGTTCAGGGATTCTCAATTCTTAGTAGTTTCTTTTGTTGGTTGTGAGACTTGAACTCAGGGCCTGAGCTCTTTTGCTCAAGGCTAGAGTGCTACCATTTTGAGCCACAGCTCCATTTCCAGTTTTCTGGTAGTTAAGTGGAGGTAAGAGTCTGTTGCCTAGGCTGACTTCGAACCACAATCCACAGATCTCAGCCTCCAGAGTAGCTAGAATTATAAGTGTGAGCCACTAGCACCCAAGTTTCATAGTAATTTCTTCACCTACTTATCTTCGTTTCTTTGCATTTCAATTTAGATTTGATTTCTTTGTGTGCTGCTACTGGGGCTTGAACTCAGGGCTGGGCATTGTCCCATAGATTTTTCCCTCAAGGTTGGCACTCTACCTCTACAGCTCTATTTCTAGATTTTTGGTAGTTAATTGGAGATAAAAGTCTCACCAGTTTTTGTACTCGGGCTGGCTTTGAACTGTGATCCTCAGATCACAGCCTCTTGAGTAGCTAGGATTACAGGGGTGAGCCACCGGCACCCTGTTTTAGGCTCACCTACTTTTGTCACTGACTCATCAATCACAGAAGTCATGAACATATCCTATCAAGCTGGAGAAAATGCCAGCTTCTAAGGATTGCATTTGGTTCCTGCCTGAATCCTTGAGTGTAGTTAATACCTTAGTTAGCAAAAGGAAATATAAACGTTTAAATTATAAACTAAATAAAATTTGAGTTTAGTGGCAAACCTCCAGTGACAATGCTCTGCAAGGACAGATTTTTTTTCTTCAAAATCTGGGTTTTCATTTTACATCTAATTTTCTTCCCACTTTCTCAGATTTCTTATACCCCTTCTATAGGCTTTATTTTTCTATTAATTTCATATATTTAGACGTAAAATGTCTTTCTGTACATTAAATGTACATTTTACATTTTGAGGCCAGATTCCTTGAAAACTTACAATATACAAGTAGATATTTGAAACTATATAGTTGTCCCATAGTAAGAAAAAAGTTACATTTAGGATTGACCCAATAGTTCAAATGATGTTATTGTTACAAATGACAATGGCATTTCTCAGAATGTATTAGTTATAATAAAGTTGTTAGGAAAATTCATGACTTAAATATCCCTCTTTTCTTCTTTCCACTCGAAATTCTTGATAACTTTGTGTTACAAATATTTATCAGCATTGTAGAGAACAGGGGAAAATGTGTTATAAGCAAGCAATGTATCTTTAACATTGTGCATTTCTGTGTTGCTGAGAGATGACCTTCGGGATGGCCTTTATAATGTAAGGACAGTGATTCCAGGACTGTCAATAGAGGAATAATAAGAATGGATTTCTTACTAACGAGGTTGAATTTGCCCTGGAGCTTACTTCCTCTTTTCAAGGGTTGAGGAGATGGTTGTAAACTATGAGGACAGAGCAGAGCAAATGTAATTGGCTCCACTTGAGTACTGCATGCTAACTACAATTAAATATATTTCATTGTAACAGCTCATTCATAAAATACATTTATTAACTCATTCTAAGCTCCCTCCGCCTCTCTGCCCCCTACCTCAGAGCATACAGAAGCCTCTAAATCATCCCTCCTTTAAGAAACTGACAATCCAGTTGAGATTCAGACCATTTTTGTTTCAAGCTGTGTAAATTATTAATGACAGAGAGAATACTTGTTGCTTCCTGGTTCTCTCTTAAGAGAGCACAGGTTAGGTTAGGGAAGCCTCAGTGGATTTCTGAGGATATTTTGTTTGTGAATGACACAGAAGGGGAGGATGGAGAAAATAACTCCAGTGACATGCACTGATTGTGAGTTCTAAATGGAGAGGCTCAGGCTGCAGGCAAACAGTGACCTCAGAGAGACAAGGAGAGGGTGACATGAAAGTGTGTGAACTCAAAGAGGAGCAAACTTGGTTATGTGTAAGAGGGAAACCTGGTGCTGCACCCCTTCCCTTTTCTACCCTGGCAAATTCCTGCTTATCCTTTTCTGACCATTTCTCTCCAATTAGTCAGTAGTCATTAGTCATTCTCTCCAATAGACTCTAGTTAGCCCTTGAGACACACGTGTCACTTGAACTACCACAAATGCTCTTCCTGTGTCTGCACAGGCTCCAGGATGTCATTGGCTGCCCCTGGAAATGTTAAATTTCTAGTGCACAGTGCATGCAAAGACTCATGTAGGTGAACAGTATGACTAGAAGAGGAGAGCAGGAAAATAAATTCCCTTATACAAAAATGAAGGCTTTTGAGGACAAAGTCATGAGTGGAACATGCATATGAAAGTATTAGAAATGAGGTTAGATAAAGATCATTGAGTCTGTGGAGAGCAGTTTTAACCACATGGATCTTAAGTTTTCAGTCTGTCTTAAAAATTAGGATCTTAGAGGATTTGCGCGTGGTGTAATAGAGACTAGGTTACTTATTCCTTCCTGCATGGTACTGGGAGGCCTGGCTATCAGATGCTCTATGGCTGAGCCACACCTCCAGCACTTTGTCTGCTGGTTATTTTGAGAAAAGAGTCTCACTTTCTGCCCAGGTAGATTCCTGGACACAATCCTTTTATTTGTCATTTTAATTATACACATATGATTACATAATTATTTTTGCCCTTGAATATTTACTTATTTCATTCATCTGCTTTTAGATAGAACACATTTCTATTTCATTCTTTCTCTGAAACTTAAGCTTCAATTTTTTTGTCTTGTTTTTCAATTACTGGATCATATCGCCATCTACTGGCGAAAAGAATACCTGCAGCTTTTTTCCCTTCGTCTATTTTGTGTGCAATGGGAAACTTTCAACATCTTGAAGGAGAGGCAAACATATGCAAAGATGACTTCTATACTCTACTTTGAAGCAATGCTTTCTAAAGAAGTATCTTAGTAATTCCTTCTTTTATATGTCACCAGGGTGGTCTCCTTTTTCAACACGCACAAGGGAGAGATGACACTGGTGCCTGGCAAGGATGCTAAACATAGGTTGTGCTGCTGAGACTGTCAGTATCTGAGTTATTTGAGGTACTGGGGTCAGTGATTATAATACCCCTTTGAAGATGGGGAGCGAGAGTCAAGTGGTACAGGCTCTACCTAACCAATGTGAAGCCCTGAGTTCAATCCCCAATACCTCCACAAAATTAAAATCAGTTTTGAATGACTCTCTTTGTGGAAGAGAGACAGAAGGTAGAAGACAAAATTTACTCTAAGTTTCCCTTATCTATCTATCTATCTATCTATCTATCTATCTATCTATCTATCTATCTATCTATCTACCTATCAATTTATCTATCTGCTTTTAAGACATGGCGTCTCAGCCTTTTTTTGCATGCACAAGTTGGTCTACAACTCACTTTTGCCATTTGATCTCCCAACACTCCCTGAGTCATAGCTCATAAAACTTTACAGACCATAGTTTTATGTGGTATGCACTCTATTAGCTCTTTCACACCTCTTCTGCATTCACCTGGAACCTGTTCCTGCTCCATCTAGACAGAGATGCTTAGCTCTACCCAGGTTTCAAAGCTTGATTCAGGTATCAGACATGTGCTGAGGTCGTAACTCCTCTGAGCACACAGGATTCCCATGGCTGTCTCTGGCCTAGCATTTCAGGGAATGAATGTACTTTATGTGGCCTCTTCCTGGTTGATTGTGAGCATCTAAGTATTGGCACAGAGCAGGAGCTTAACTTATACTTACTGAAGTGACAGTTTTTTAGGGGATTGTATAGACCTCTTTAAACTCTTCCACTGATACTATTACTCCAACTTGCTTATTGTCTGGACAATATTATTACACATTATTACTCCAACTTTCTTACTGTCATGTTTGGCATGACCTACAGCAGGCCTCCACGATAAGAACTGAGACTTAGGGATACAGCTGGATGATCTAGCAGTGCTCAGGAAGGTGCTCAGGTCCTGTGAGTGGACCTCTTTATCGTTGCTTCTCCACAGCCCCAAGTCATTGTCATTACCTTTTTCCTGATGAGTAACAGGTGGGACTTTCTTCTGAGCGCAAGATATCTCTGTCTGATTCATCTTTCCATTCTCCCTTCTGACACTTCTGGGAACTAAGGCAGGGATGAATGATTCTTGCTCTTTTTCCCCTCTCACATCTGTTTTCAGAAAGTTGCATTCTCCTCCAGAGCTTCCTAACCTTTCAGAGTGAGTGCTAGAGAGATGACTGTTTTTTCACTGCTAGGGAATACTCAGTTGTAGTATGTCTGAAAAATAACATTCCCTGGTCACGGAGGTCTTATGTCTCCAACATGCATTAGAGTTTTCACTTACAGACAAGCCGAGTCTTGGATTGAAGTTGCATCTTTTTGCATTTGCCACATAGCAGGTGATGACTAGGAGAGGGCTTGAGACTTGCTGGTGAGGGACAGTTGTGTATAACTGAGGAAAGGAAAGAAGTCACTTTCCCCACCGAATTACTTTTTGTCAGGCCTCTTAGTTCTATCTAATGAATTACTTCTATTACAGCCCAAAAGGGAGTTTATCCTAGCAGTAGCAGCAGAGTAAATGGAACTTATTCCAATGTAGGAGTTAGACTTATTTTTTAAAAAAATTCTTCTACCCACTAGGATTGCTTTAAAAATGCTTTCATTGAAGCGCATAATGTTTCTGAGTGAATATCCTGTTTGGGAGAGAAGATTAGTCTTTTATAGGAAGGAACTGTATCACATCTGGATATCAGTTTTGATAGATGACTCTGCCCAGCTGAGTCGGTTATTTCTACCCAAGATCAGGGGTCTACAGAGTGGGGATGGCACTGCCCAGAGATGCATGCAGTGGTCAATTTCCCAGGCCTTGAAACCACCCCTCCCTCAAAAGGCGATACGAGATAATGACCACACAACTCACAGGAGCTGAAAATGACGGAAAGGTGCATCCAGTCAAATCTTCTAAGTTGGGAAAAATAACCTCTCAGTGCCTTTTATTTTTACATTTTTGAAAGGAGTTAATTACTTCATGGAGTGTGCGGAAAAGGAGATGCTGAAATGGTGACACGCACACTGCCACAGCTGAGTAGAAAGGAGTAACAATTAACACGCACCGTTCACACAGGGCCCTAGGAATCGACGACTGGAAAAAATTCATTTCCCAGTGAGTCAGTAGGATATGTGCTTTCAGTTGGTTGGTCATTAAAATGGCTCTTCGGTCACCTATTCAACAGAAAACATTGAAAGCACCCTGCTCCCACTTGGTAGCAAGACCCAGAGTGGAGCAAAAGAAAATCGTTGAGTGCTTAGTGAGATATTGTCTCTAAATCTGTGTTTGTATTTGACAGGAAGCGAGCTATGTCATTTGGTGACACAGAAGGACCAGCTAGATAATTAAGGGTAGAGTGTTATCCCCCAAATTATAGCAAGCACACGAGGAGGCAGAACTTGTAGATTATAGGTTTGGATGATATGAGGAACAAAGACCTGCTCTGGCCTCCTACAACGGGCCCGCAACGCAGTAATGACTGTCCTGTTGTAGCCTTCACAGCATGCAGGGTGATTGCTGAATAGATGAACAAGGAGCAAAGAGCAAGGGACAAGCACCTACCAGGATCCATTTGTGCTGCTTACTGTGCTAGTGCCATCGTCATTACTCACCCACTGCATTCACGTAAGCGCCCTGGAAGGGCATCCCTTCTGCGTCAGGCACTGCATTTCTGCAAGATGTGAAATGTCCCTGACAACCCAAGAAGCGTTCCCAAGCTCTGACTCAAGCCTCAGAGAATTTCTACTACACCAGGCCGACCCTTAAATATGACCTCTACTACATGTAAGCTTAGGGGAGTTTTAGGAAAGAGCAGCCATGATGGCTACTAAAGGCATAACTCCATAGGTGAGAGATTCTGCTGACTTGTTCAACGTCATCTGCTATGGGTGATGCAATGAAGCAAGTTTTAAAAAATCAGTTTTAATTGGGTGCTGTTAGCTCATGCCTATAATCCTATAATCCTAGCCTCTCAGGAGGATGAGATCTGAGGATCATGGCTTAAAGCCAGTCTGGGCAGGGAAGTCCATAAGACTTTTAGCTCCAATTAACCACCAGAAAACCAGAAGTGGCGCTATGGCTCAAGTGGTAGAGCACTAGTCTTGAGCTGAAGAGCTGAGAGATAGCGCCCACGCCCAGAATTCAAGCCCCATGACCACCACCACCAACAACAACAAAAAGTCAGTTTTGAGAATGTTTTGGTTCCAATCAATATAGGAGACTATGTCCATGTCTTCATGCCTAACCCACCTTATAAATTCCAACAAGCTTTGTGTTTTCCTGATGATTGTTGTTCTGAATGTCAGAGTTCCCTCAAAGGCTTCCCAAATGTCCGTGAGTGAGAGAAGGCTTAGATGTAAGTTAATTCAGGCAAATAGACAAACAGACAGACAGGGGCTAACAAATGAGGTCGAGTTTTATATGTTGTGTAAAAATGACGTGAGTCGCATGTATATGAAAATAGGTACTTTTGGCTATACTTGTGCTTCAGGTAGAAAAAATATTTCAATAAAATAGCACATAACAATATTACTCATATGACATATTACACAGATGGTAATGACCTGCATTAGAATGTGACAGCCAATGTGGAATTTGGTGGGCCCTGGCTTCCCTATATGGTTCCCTGTATGGTTTTTCACTCATAATGGAGAGTTACTATTCACTAAACGTATGTTAGCTGGCAAGCACAGTGCTGTGGTCACCAAACATCATAGCAACATGGAAATCCTTGCCACATGCAAGGAAGAGAAGTTGTGCTTTATGAAATTAAGAAGTGAGCTTGGAGTAAGGGCATTCATCTCACTGGCCAGTCACTCAATCTAGAACCCAAGCTCATGATTTTAACTACATTTCTATACCGTTTATAACTATATATTATTTGAGGTGCAATGAATGTGTTTCTATACCGTTTATAACTATATATTATTTGAGGTGCAATGAATGTGTTTCTATTTTCTTTTTGTAATATATATTTTTTATGGTAAAGATACTGTACAGAGGGGTTGCAGTTAACTGAAGCAAAGTAATGAGTCTATTTCCTATCAAGCATTGTTAAACCCTCCTTTATTTTTCCCCTACCATCCCTTTCCTCCTCACCTCCCCAACTCCTCCCTCCCTGCCTCCCATCCCCCCCACAAAGTTGTAAAGTTCATTTTTAACATACTGTCTTGTATATCTCATTGTTACAATGGGTCATCTTGTATCCTTATTTTAGCATTTTGTTATTTCCCTTTCCCTCCCCCAATTAGGAAAAATGTATATACAAGATTCAGGACACCAGAATCAAATACAGTGACAACAGGGGTTGTATCATGGGGGAAGAACATACAAAGAGACAAAAAAATCACATAGTACATTATAAGTACAATAAAAAGAACAACAACAAAGACAAAATTGCTTGTGTCCCCACCTTGGGGTTTATTTCCCTTGGCATAAGGTTATATGGTCATATTGTTCCTATTTTCTTAATGCTGAAAATTTTCTCCTATTATTGTAATCTTTTTTCCTTTACAGGGAACCAAAGTCCTACAGATGTTCATGTGGTACTTGAACCCACGCCAAGTCTTTGATCTTTCTCAGGAAGGGCCAAAAGATGCGTAAGTCTGGAAATACCCCCTGTAGTCTGGCAGAACTTTGAGCAAGTGAGGACTTTATGATTTGGGCCAAGGTCTGTTATCTGATTACCTGGTGAAATGTGTTTTGTTCATCTCTTATTTCCTTCCTTCAAAACTTTATCTGATGTGCCCTAGTACTTTCCTCAAGCTTGTTTCCTTCAAGATATTGTCTGCTCCATTGTTAATGAGGGTACACTGCTAGTGTGTTTGTGTTTCTGGATGTACAATTTTCAATTACATTGTTTCTATTTACAAATGTGCAATTTGGGAGATGCACATTTACAGGAATGTAAGCTTATGTTTGGGGGTTAGCTATATTTATCTACGAATATTTGATTTGGGGGCTGTGTGTGTGTTTGTGTGTGTGTGTGTGTGTTTGTGTGTGTTCATTGGAGAGAGAGATAAATGAATTGATTATACCTATAGACTCTATACCTCTGTGAGTGGACATTTAATTTCTGTTCCATTGCTTTTCTGAGTTTCTCAGAGATCTTATTCTCTGCTTTGGTTACAAGTATTGAAAACAATCTTGCACAGTGGGAAAGAACAGGGTTAGTTCTGCTATTGGACACCTTGTGTTCTGATGCTAGGGAATAAATAGTAGCACATAAAGGATTTGAGTTATTTTTGTAATAAATAGAAAAATGAGAGAAAAAGATGCATCAACTCATACATTTATAGAGAAATAGTATTCCTGTATGAAATGAATACAGTGTATTTTTAAGCATAGAGGAGAACATGAACTAGGAAAGTTAAATTTCTGTTATGAATTTCTTTGCCACTAGAGTTTGCTGTTAGCCTTCTGTGTTTTTTTCCTGTTCAGTTGTGCTAAGATAAATCTACTACTCAGGCTTATGTTCCTTTTTAGATTTCTTTTTCCTAAGATTTTTTTAAATCATATTAGTTAGCCTTGCTTCAGAGAGAACAAGGCAGGAGACAAAATATTTCCAGGAAAAAAATCATAGCACTTTATTTAAATTGGTGATTATATTCAGAGTGTAACCACTTACTTTAGCCAAAGGTTATCTATCATCTGAGGAGTATAAATATACATACTGCATTTTCTTGAGAGACAGCAAGATAAAATGATCAAATATCAAGCAGGCAAACTCATTAGCAATCTCTTTACTTTGCATAGAGAGGGCGTCAAAGGATGGATATGTGGGTGCTGTAGAGAAAGATTAGAATTAATAGCAGAAAGTATGGGTTTGAAAAATGAACAGATCCAGGAAGAGCTAATAGAATATAAAGAGGAGACACAAAAAGGCTATTGATAACCAATTAGTGACATTTTCTCTAAGAAAGGAAAGGGAGTAATGAGGGGGAAAGGAAAGGCGGTAATGAGTGAGGAAAGAAAAAAAGACAAGAAGTAAAAGAACTAAAAAGAAAGTAAATGCAGTTTATATATATTACATTGACATGAGCGCTGGAATTATGAAAATTAAAGACTTCAGGCCACTTAAAAATAATATTCACCCCCTGTCTTGAGGCAGTCGGACTTGGGCCTCTTGGGTTTCCATGGAGATGGGTTCGTTCAATGCCATCATCCTCGTGAAATATATTCTCTCCAGTGGACACCCTCCCCCATGTCATGTTGCATTTTCTCTATGCCAAAGGAAGTGATGGCTTCTTTTGTTTACCTTTCCTTCTGTTTCCTTTTTAGGCTTGAGTTGTATAGGAAAGTCCCAAATCTACGAATTCTAGCCTGTGGTGGCGATGGAACGGTAGGTCCTTGAAGGAGAATCCAGTTTTCTACCTTATTTTTCCCCTAGTTTTGAATGATTTCTCCTATTATTATTACTAATTCTTTTTGGGGGACAGTTTTCTTCTTTCTTCTTTCTCTCCTGAGAATCACAGCCTGTGATGATTAGAAGGGACTTAGTTATGCGTTGAAAGCATGTGACCTTTCTAAACTATGACTCCTTGTGTCAAGTTTGCTCTGGTCTACAGAGCAAGGATGTGATCACGTCATTGACTTGAAGATTTTTGTGGGTGGCCAAATTCCTTAATATATATAAACTGCTGAGCCGGGTGCCAGTGGCTCATGCCTGTAATCCTAGCTACTTAGGTGGCTGAGAGCTGATGATTGCAGTTCAAAGACAGCCTGGACAGGAAAGTCTGTGACACTCTTATCTGCAATTAACCACTAGAAAACTGAAAGTGGCACTGTGGCTTAAGTGGTAGGGCCCAAACCCAGAGTTCAATCCGTACAACTGACAAAAAAAAATATATAAACTGCTGTATCTCCATTCTTTTCTGTTAATGCATTTAAAAACTGACACATGAAAGCAGAAATATGTATTGTTTGTCCACAGTCAATGGCTTGTGTTAAGTTTTACTAACCTAATACTGAGTTCCAAGGCACAGTTCTAGCAAACTCCCTGGTTCACCCTCAGAAAATGGAGCCCAGTTCCATATGGTGCTGCCTCTGATCGAGTTAGTGCTGGTGAAGCTGACTTCCACAGCTCTGCGCCAGCTGATTCATTTCTAATTTCCCCATCTGCAAGGACCTGCACGAGCCCAGAGATGCACCGAAGCCCGTGCCACGGGTGACAGTGGTCTAAATGTACAGGCGGGTGTATGCAGGTCTGCGGAATGCAGGTCTCTACCCGTGCTAGGGCAGGAATAGAGACTCCATCAGCGAGCACCAGCTCAGGGAATAGCTGTGCTCCTTCATGTGAGACGTTGGGTGCAGAAGACATTTCTTTGGCCACCAACACCGAACTTCAGGTGGATGACACCTGAGGCTCCCAGGCCGTGGGACCTGTACAGTCCTGAGGCAGGGACAGAGGCTCTGCCTGTGAGCTCTGGCTTGGTTAGAGCTCTCTTGGTTTCTTCTGGTCCTAGTTTTCAGTGTGGCAGGCCTAGATCTGAGCTCCAAGACAAATCCTACGCTGGCTTTCCTGTCCTGCCAGTAGGTGGAGCCTTGCCCACCATCTGCTTTGCCTTCCGCTGGAGAGAAGGGTGGCCTGGGCACTCTATCTGGGCTCAGGCAGTTTGGTGACATGACACAGTGTGTGGCTATTGATCCAGGGAAGAGGTTGGCGAGTGGGTGGGGCTCTATCTCTAGCACCTAGTTTTACTGTGGCAAGCCTGACACTAGGCTTCAAGTCGAAGGTCTGGACTTTATTCCCAGTTTTTCTTACCCAAAGGGAAGCTCTTTCTCCACATGTTGCTAGAGTTAACACAGATCACTCTTCCCTTTCTTAGCTCTTAATAAGGCAATTAGATGTACACAGAACTGTTCAAATTAGTGAATTTGGGGGGACACAGTCACTTGGGGATGCTCATCAACTGCTATCTTATGACTGTTCTTATTTTTGGAATGGGGGGATGGTTCTGGTCTTGGAGCTTAAACTCAGGGTCTTGATATTGTACTTAAGCTGCTTTGGTCAAGGCTAGCACTTTACCACTTGAGCCACAGCTTTACTTCTCTCTTTCTCTCTCTCTCTCTCTCTCTCTCTCTCTCTCCCTTTCACTGTATGTATGTGTGTGTGTGTGTGTTTAATTGGAGAATAGAGTCTGGCAGACTTTCCTACCCATGTTGGCTTTGAACTGTGATCTTCAAATCTCAGCTTCCTGAGTAGCTAGAATTACAGGCTGGGGCTACCAGTGCCCGGTTTTCCATTTAGTGTTAATGATCGATCACCTTTAGTTAGGAGAAATATGTGGATATACTAGAATTAAGTCAACTTTTTTCTAATGGAATTAAAATTCAGAATATTGACTCAGATAGGTTTGCCTTAGAAGTCATTCATTGCTCTCATTTGTATACCTTTTTAAGAGAACATGGGGGAGGGATTTTATTAAAGTTTACTATCTTTGACCTTTTTTCCTCCTCTCTTTATTATGTTGCAATTATTTCCCCATTGGTTTCCATTTTGTTGATATTTTTAGCAAAGGTAAAGAATTAAGAATCAAGACAGATTTGCCTTTTACTTTTGGATATTTGGAGTCTAATTGCTTAGCATCTAGGATTGCATTATGGGCTCTTTTAGGTTTTTTAAATATCCCTAATTAGAATGTTTCATTCTCAAAGGTAGCAACAAAATCTCCTTTCTAATTTCTTCTCCTAGCATGAAAGCACTTAATACCACATGAGCTACACATTATATACCATTAAATGCAACAGAATGAAGTAGCACAGTGATTCCATTGGTCCTCACTTACCGGAGAGGAAAAAAGACTTCTTTTTCCATTTGGGAAAACAGTGTTTACCAGTCTTCAAGATCCATAATGCAAATGATCGCCCGACAAAAATCCATTATAACTTACAAAATAGCAGCAGACCTTTTTGACTCTAACCTCATGTTTTGCAAGATATCCTTGACTGTGAATTCTCCCCACTTGGCATCAATCACATTTCCAGTGGTTGCAATGTCCTAGAATGATGTACTTAGGGATATGATCGTGCAGGTGTGAAAAGGATGAATTTGTTTCTCCCCATCATAAACATCACAACTGAGTACTCCTGTAGCAAGCTACTGGCCAAGAATAAAACACATTTATTGAATCAATGTTGTGTGTGACCAAAGATCCTGCAGAGGGAAGACACAAAGACCCAGGGAAAAGCACTTGCTCTGTGCTTGGGAAAGGTGATTGGACATAAAGCAGATGATTGTAGAGTACTGGACTGAAGAATTAGCTCTGCAAGGTAGATCAACCATCTCCCAGAGCAGTTACATTTACTGAAAGGATGTACTCATTGTGAATCCTTACTGTATCTCACGTTCGTAGCCTTGCCTTCCCATGTGACTTCACTCCTATCTGCCTCGTTTACCCTGGAAATTTCAGTGACAGCAGGAGACAAGTGAACGTATGTCCATTGTCCCCAAACTCAGAGCTCTTACTCTTTTTTAAGTCATCACTACCTCCCCAATCATGGCTGCACTCAGTGCTCCCTTCCCACCCCCTCCCCCTCCCCTGCACCTCCCAGGAGGCTCCTCCCTTCTCCCACCCCCTCCCCCCTCTTCTTTTCCCAGCAGAGGCCTGTAAGAAGCACAGTGTCAGCCCTTGTCATACTAACCTCTTGTCTGCCACGTTCATAAGTGTTTCCAAACATGGGAATTCAACCCATCCATGTTAAAGATGGAATTTCAGCCAAAGCCCAACAGGAAAAATGAAAAGATAGAGAACAGAGGAACAACTAATTGTTTTGTCAAGAAGACCAAAAAATGAAGTGGGGGGGGGATAAGCAATGAGTTTTAAGAGAGAAGGAGGGATTTGGAGACTAGAAAGTGACTGATGATTCAATAAAGGCCTTCCCAGAGTGATGAACGAGGTTTGGCATAATTCTAATGAAGTTCTAAAGGCCAGATCCGCTTGGGATCTTGGTAGAAGCTGAATTTTTATTTTTAATTTATTATTTTGTATGTGTGTGTGAGAGAGAGAAGGGGAAAGAGAGAGAGAGAAAGAAAGAAATATTGTAGATGGAAGTCAGGATCTTGTATTTGCTAAGCAGGGACTCTACCATGTAAGTCATACCTCCAGCCCATTTTTGCCTTGGTGACTTTTGAGGTCAGTTCTCACTTTATGTTTCAGCTTTCCTGAGACATAACTTTCCAAAAACTCTCTACTTATGTTTCCTGGGTCACTCAGTAGGACAAGTATGGCTGGGCACCAGTGGCTCATGCCTATAACCATAGCTACTCAGGAGGCTGAGATCTGAGGATTCCCCAGACTGGGCAGTGAAGTCCGTGAGACTCTTAACTGCACATAGAATAGTTTTGACTGATTCTGATGAGGATTTTCTATTCCCCTTTACCATATGGCTTAAATGTGGAGAGTGGTTTTTGTTGTTGTTTCTGGTTCTTGGGCTTGAGTTCTGGGCTTACATCTTGCTCAGTTTGTTTTCTTAAAGCTGATGCTCTACTACTTAAGTCTTGCCTCTAGCTTGGCTTCTTGATGGCTATTTTGGAAATGGAAGACTTGAAGACTTTCCTGCATGGGTTGGCTTTGAACTAGGAGCCTCCGGACTAAGCTTCTGAGTAGCTATGGTTGTAGGAATGAACCACCAGACCCTGCTGAAAGTATTTTTCATATAATAATAGAACTACTGCCTTGTTCCTCTTTCAGGGTTGAGAGTCGTTGCCCTTTTTCGCTGATTTCCCACTGTGCGTGTCCTTCATGTGTTTCTGCAGGATTCAGGACAGTACAGTGGGTGTCTGTTGGGTTGGAATCAAGTACCTACCCCCCTCTGCCATGTCTAATGTTAATACACTGCAGAAGGGTAACACTGTGCAGTCAGCCAGCAAGGGCTGTGAATGGACAGGTGGTGGCAGCATTGGCCAGCTGCTGCTGCCGCCTGGCTGCTGAAAGCCCTGTGGAGGGGCTGGCGTTTTAAATCTGTCAGCCCTGCTTTTCCTAATGAAGAGAGGAGAGAAGTCTGCAGGCTGCAGCGATGTGATCTCATCAGGATAATGTTCTTCAGTTCTGGCAAAAGAGATGCCAAGTTCTGTGTGTTTCACTGAACTAAGTGATTTAATCGGAAGGTTTCTTGTGGGTGAGCTGGTGGAGATACTTTGGGAATACTGAATCCCAACCAGCAGAGCATCTGCCCATGAACCTAGAGTGTGCTGCCTAGACTTGCAGAAGAGGGAATTTCTCACTACTCACAATGGGACAAGATTTCCAAGACAACTTTAGAGTCAAAGTTCTTTTCATACAGTTCTAATGACAAAGATACAGACAATTGATGAAGATTTTTTTTTTGTTTTACCTACTATATAATAGCAGATTCATTTTCATTCTATTTCTAGAGCTCTGGTCTCTGGACTGCTTGGCTTTTACTGTCATTTTTCATCTGCAACAGAAAAGCTTCTTGGATTGATGGAAGCCAGAGGTGGGATAAATTTCACATTTCAGGCTCCATTTTTCCTTTAAAAGGAACAATAGAAGAGGGTATTCTGCTCCTAGGAAGTAGATCAAGGAAAGAGGGAAAATACCGTGTTAGAGCTAGTGTTAATTTACATTTGCCATTTGCCAGGCACATGCTAAGCAATGTCTGCGCATTATTTAATTGGGAAGATAACACTAAGGGGCAGCTGCCACTGTTACTCTTCTTTTAGGTTGGGGGAGGACAAATTTAAGTGACTTGTCTCCCTCATGCATGGAGTATGTGGCGGGGTGGGGCTGTGAGCCAATGTGGCTCCCTGTCCTTTGGGTTACGCTTCCTTTGAAGAAGGTTGGTTGCTGGGGAGCCATCTCATTGCTCCCAGAAAGGAAGAAGGATTCCAGGGTATGGTAAGAAGACACACAGAGCTGCCTCAGGCAGAGAGCTATCTACCTCACCTTGTACACCCATGAGAGAATGTCAAGACAAAAGGAAAAAAAAGATCTGTGCTGTAAAAGGCAAGAAACAGTTGATGATGTGCGATGATGATGCCATGATATAATACAAGGTGGCCTTCTCATGTTCAGGAAAGATTGGGATATTTGATTACTTGGCTACTGTACCAAGGAGATAGAAGAAATTGGATCCATCCATCCATCCATCCATTTACCTATCAATCACCCGTCTATGTAGACACATCTTTATATATCTATATCTGATTTATTTTATAGATGTCTAGATAAACATACACATGTATGTATTTCAAGGGCCTTGCCGTAAAATCAATTCTAATGTATCCTTTTATGAATGGGCCAAGTGAAAGGGAAAAGGAGAGAGTAAAAATTGCCTGAGCGATGCGGGCTCCTGTGCAGTCACACACAGTGCATACCTTTGGTGGAAACTTCTCCGAGAAGACAAGCCAGAACAAAGCCCATCTCAGGACCATGTGAAGATGCAATGCTGATTCACAGAAGTTACTGGACACTGCTCTCCAAGTTGTCTGGATGTGACCAGCATCTGATGAGCAGTGAAGGAATCCTTTCATTGTCACATTCCTCCAAAGATTTAGAATTTTTCTTTGTAGGATCATCTTCAAAGGAAGTTGTTTAACTTAATTTTTTTCTTTTGTATCTTGGTGTCCTGTCACTACCTCTTTGTGGTAGTTTTGAATTGTTTCTAGAACTTTCCAGCGGTAGGTTTTGTGTTTTTATTTTTTATAGGTGGGTAGGGCTCCCACCTTGGGAAGGCGTCAGTGAGCTTGTGAGAGACTGAACCACATACTCCCATGCTTCACGCAGCCATGACACTTCTTTCTCAACCCAACAGGTTCAGACAATAGTCATTTCTTCCCTACCAAGAGAGAGGTTAGTGCAGTACAGCCTTCTGCCAGGAGGAGATGCACTTTGAATTTCCCATTGTCAGAAGCCACACCCACAGCTTCCTCTGCCTTTTGTAAGAAGACTAGGAGCCAGTTTGCTGCTTTGACCCAGAAAGATAACTCTTCTTTGTCTTATTTATTCACTGTAAACGTTTTATTGATGTTATAAAGGTCACGCATAGAGGGGTTGCAGTCAAGTAAGTCAGGTGAAGAGTGCATTTCTTTTTGGACAATGTCATCCTTTCTGATGTGTCTCTTTTTTAAACCTTTATTTTTCCTCCTCAAGTGTTGATTGCTGTGTCTAGAATGAAATGAGGTCCTGAAGGAAAGGGGAGACATGGTTTAATTACAATACAAAGAAAACGAATTTAAATCTTCCTAAACAAAAGGAGCTAACTTGGGAATGGACGAGGGGTAGCTGGAGAGCTCTGTTACCGAGGAGCTTTAAGGAGGAGGTACCCTTTTCCTTCTCTGGACAGGGGGCATTGTGTTACATTTCTGCTAAGTCCCACTGTGAGTCTGGTTCTTCTCAGAGCTGCTGGCATCTGCAGACAGCCATCCCTGATAGCTGAGCTTTCCAGTGCTGACATCCTCTTCAGTGACCTTTCACCCCCTTGTCATGTAGTTTATAAGAGCCATCCATTCCCGCTGTATTAAGCTTGTGCTTTTAGCAGCACATGGGCAAGGTCTAGCACAGCCATCACACTGAATTTAGTAGCTGGAATGTGTGTTTTCTTTTCCTTCCAAGCCAGAGCTGCAGTACTTTGCTGGTATTACACATCAGGGAAGAAATAAAGAATCCTTCGGTCAAACATCGAAGGATTGTTTAGGAATAAATTGTCCAGTTTTAACAAATGATTGAACTTACTGGCATTTTTGTGGATACAGATTTTTAGTGTACGTATGGATGAACATTGTGGCGTAACTTACTAGCTGGTGATTACAGCTTTGCACTTCATTGAAAGATGAGGAAGGTCTATTTCTGGGAAGGAATTGTGTAAGAGAAAGTGTTTTAGGTATAAGTGAGGAAAGTTGGTCCTAGTATGCCACTTTATTTAGTGTGTGTGTGGTGGTGGGGGCGGGGATTACAGGCTCTCCCTCTGCAACATAGTTCTGCAACATAACTAAGTTTGATTCACACCTCCTTTCTTCCCTTCCTTTTTCCTTCCCCTCCCTTCCTTCCTCTTTCTCTTCCCCTCTCTTCTCTTCTCTCCACCCCTGTCTTCTCTCTGACTTCCCTTCTCCTCTTCTCTCCTCCCCTCTTCCTTGTTCTCCCCTCTCTCCTTCCCTTCCCTCTCCCTCCCCTCTCCCCCACTCCCATCTCTGTCCTCAGCTCTCTTCTCTGAGTTTGGGTGTGACTATGTTGCTAGGACTTGTCTTAAACTCCACAGTGGGGTGGAGCCATATGCTACGTTGCCTACTTTTGATTCATCTATTTCCAAGGTTCAAAGTCACTTGCCACTATCTCCAGAATAACCAGGCTCCTTCCAGAAGCAGATTTAGTGTATTTGCAGTGCTTGTTTGTTTGTTTTGTTGTGATGCTACGGGTCATGCATGCCAGATAAGCATTTTAGCCCCGACCTACCCTCTGGTCCCATTTTTGTCTTAGTGTTGAGACATGGTCTTGCTAAGGTTCCCAGGACAGCCTTCATCTTCTTATTCCTGCGTTAGCCTCTGAGTAGCTCGAGTTACAGGTGTGTGCTACTACATCCAGTCCCTCATCCTCCAAGTCTTAGTTTCTCTATAAAATGGACATTAAAATGAAACAACATTGCATTGATTCAATAAACGGCTTTGCTCAGGGATGATCTCTTTGTGTAAACCCCGAGAGTAGCTCTTCAGCCTGATCTATCTTGGCCCAGCCCATTTATCTCCATATTTTCAGTCACTGAGTTCTGTGGTTTACATGTGGTGTCCATCAAATGTAGTGGCTCAATGTTGTGTTTTTAAGAATCCTCACTTTCATGCAAATGAAAATATCCTGAGCACCTCTCATTATTTTACTTGGCTTTTAGTGAGAGAATCAGCAAAGTGGCAAATTTGGTTCATCCAAGAAGTATAGGAAAAGAATTATAGAGTTATATTCCATTTTTCCCCTAATATGAGACAAAACTAGTTTCATACCCCATAGGACTAGACCTATAACCTTTAACGTCTTGTAGACATTTGCAGTGCTATGTGAAGCTACAATTATCTAGTTCTTAAGTAGGGGTCTGTGAAGCAGTAGTTGTGGATGACATCATAAAGACATGTCAGTTTCTTTCTGCTATTTCCAGATTTGGGGTAATTTTTCTAAATAGTTATAATAATAAGACTCTACCCAAAGTATTATTTATCTTAGCAAAAGATGAAAGTAAGTCTCTGCTTTCAGCCTAAACTTACAACAGAGGCTAGGTCTGCCCATAATTCTGTCTACATGGAGTATCATTGAGGATTGTGCCACGGTGGGTAACCATTTCACAAGTGCTTATTTCAGGCCAGGGATGATGTGAAGGGCTTTATGTACATTTTAGTTTAATCTGTAAGCAATCACATAATCCTGTGACTATGTATTATCAGGTGTTATTATCCTGTTTTATAAACTGGGTGAGCAAGTCTCGGTGGAGTTGAAAAATCTGATCTAGCCAGTATGAACTAGTACAGAGCCAGTATGAACTAGAAAGATATTTAATCTGATTTGGAGTCTTCCTGGCCACACCCTGTTGAAGTGCTTCAGTCATCTTAAATTTGCCTAACTGTTCAGTGACATCTCTGGCTAAGCCCCCAGATGACTGGTTCTCGTTTTGCTTAGATGATGGGGCCCACACAGAAAGGTCCTTTTCCCATTTAGGGGCATCTGAGATGAATGGCCTCGCTGCTCCCTAGTCACTGAACTAAAATGTCTGTTTTAAAGGAGAAAGAAGCCAGTCCTTTGAGCTGTGGAGAGCCTCCTGTGAAGAAGTTGTCTTATTTATCTTTCTCTTCTGTCTTCTGGCCCCCGATGCGTCTGTAGGTGGGCTGGATCCTCTCCATCCTGGATGAGCTGCAGCTGAGCCCACAGCCTCCCGTGGGGGTCCTGCCGCTGGGGACTGGGAATGACTTGGCTCGAACTCTCAACTGGGGAGGGGTAAGAACTCACCATGGCTGCTACCCCTACTGTCCAGGCACACACAGCATCCCCAGATCACACGTGCTCCCACAAGGAAGGCTCTCAGGAAAGGAGAATGCTGCTGCCGCAGCCGTCCAAGGGATGAGTTAGAAATGGGAGTCAACGTGTCCATAAACCCCAATTTTCTTTGGTAGCATCTTCAGTTTAAGACAGAAGGGAAAGTTGGATGTAGTGTGGAGCTGGGCGCTGGTGGCTCTCACCTGTAATCCCAGCTACTCAGGAGGCTGAGATCTGAGGAGCACCATTTGAAGCTAGCCCAGGCAGGAAAGTCTGTGAAACTCTTCACTCCAATAAACTACTCAGAAAAAAGCCAGAAGTGGCTCTGTGGCTCAAGTGGTAGGGCACTAGTCTTAAGCACAAAGAGGCTCAGGGATGGCACCTAAGCCCCAAGTTCAAAGCCCCACAATCAGAAAAGAATGTGGTATGGATGGAGGTGTTTAGCATACAGGCTGGGGCCTGTTGGGAAGGCCACTGAAATGCATTGGGTGGGTTAGCATCAGGTGTCGGTAGTCTTGCATACTTGAATTCATCTCAACCTTCAGTCTTGGCTAGAACTGTTTACTTCTGGCTTAGGTTTATAAGCCTCAGTTTGGGAGAGTTATGACTTTATTTGAGTTTTGGGTGTTGTCATGGCTTTGGCTTTCCTTCCTTTTAGAAGCCACCTTTAGGTCAGCATAGAATTTTCCTGCCATGTTATTTATGTATTCATTCATTTTTATGACACTAAGAGAGTAAGAAGGCACAAGACACTAAAATACCAACCTTTTTTTAAATCATATTTTGTGTCATGAAAAATGATCTTCAGATGTTCAGCAGGTAGAAATCTGGTCTTTGGGGGAATGAATCTCCCACAGACCTTAGTTTCATTTATCAGGCAGTACACGAACACTTATTTACATGAAATAACCAAATCATTATCAGTGTTAATACGTCACATCCAAGTCAAGCCTTTTGCTCTGTAATCATCATGCTGTCAGTCATGGAGCCTTGAGGAGGAACTATCTCCCTAGCAAGGCTGGTCCTTGATTCTCTGGGTCATGGAAACATGATGCCCTAAAGCACACACAGGGGGAAGTACAGAAAATAAAATGCTAACAGGAGAAAGTTCTTTTAATTAGTTAATTTTCAGGTATTTGTACAGAGAGGATTCAGGTCACTGTGTCAATTTATGAGTACAATGCATCTTGACCGATGTTTTCCTTTTCATAATAGAATAGAAAGTTTTGGATTGGAATCCTGATTTAATTCTTCTTCCTTGTATTCAACCCCGCCCCCATTTATTTATTGCTATTGTAAAGGTGATATATAGTGGGGGTGATGGTTCCAAAAGTCAGCTGAAGAGTACATTTATTTTTAGACAGTGTCACCCATTCTCTTGTTCTCTCCCAGTTTTCCCTCCCATTCTCACCCACAAATTGTGTCTAGTGATATTTTTGTGCCCCTCCCCATTACCTTCCCAAAGATGGATGAATGAACAAACAAGACAAAAGGAAATGGAAACAAAAACAACCTTGTTTCAACTTCCTCGAGTTCATTTCAATAAATATTACTTTATGTAGTAGTCAGGTACACATAGTGAAAACCCAAAGAAATATAGGTTGCATGGTTTACTTCATTTGTGGTAACTAGGATGTATCTATAAATCTACAAGTAAGCACACTGGATGGTGAAAGAGTAAAAATACTCTGGGACATGATAAATGATACAGGTCGCTAGGCATTCACACAGAGAAAGACCAAAAGAGGATATTCTTGGGGAGAGGATCACATATGCACATTGGCTATACTGCTTTCTAATTCAGACCACATTGCGTGTGTTTTCTGATTTTGTTTGCAGGGCTACACTGATGAACCTGTTTCTAAGATCCTTTGTCAGGTAGAAGATGGGACCATTGTACAACTAGATCGATGGAACCTCCATGTGGAAAGAAACCCAGATTTGCCCCCTGAAGAACTTGAAGATGGCGTGTGTAAGGTTAGGAAAATTTTCCTTGCCTGTAAATATGACACTTTGTACTTTCACTGAAATGCTTGGTTTTTAGTTCTAGCCTTGCTTTCTGACATTTTTTTTCTTTTTGGTCAGTCATGGGGCTTGAACTCTAGGCCTGGGCGCTGTCCCTCAGCTCTTCAGCTCAAGGCTAGTGCTCTACCACTTGAGCCACAGTGCCACTTTTGGTTTTCTGGTAGCTAATTGGAGATAAAGGTTTCACAGACTTTCTTACCCCAGCTGGCTTTGAATCGTGATCCTCAGATCTCAGCTTCCTGAGTAGCTAGGATTACAGATGTGAGCCACTGGCACTTGGCTTCTGATATCTTTTTGTAGGTAGCTGAGTAGATACTTCCTCCATTTAACTTTCTTTTTTTTTATCCTCACATTTGGTTTTTTTCTCCATTTTACTTTCTACTTCTATTCTGTGATAATATTTCCAAACTTTCCTGTGCATAAGAATCTCTGAGCTTACTTTTTGAGGATGTACATTCCTAGATCCACTCTCCAGAGAGACTGAACAGGACAGGGGTAAAGCCCAGGTGACTGTATATTAAATGATATCTCTGCTATTTTGGACCATGCCATTCATTGAGGCCATGATTTCATGATGTTTGTTTCAACCTTCAAATAGATTGAATCCTGAATCATCTTAGACCAGACCCTGGTGCTTTATTCATGATTCACCTTGAGCCTGACCAATTGTTGTAGGTGCTCAAATTTCTTATCTGGCTTAGATACTTGGATCAGACATAGTTTGCCTTGTCTTCATTGTTTTTCCACTTGTACATGATTCTGAAATGAAAGTTTCTAATAAATATCTCAGAGGCTCAGTTGAAGTTGAATTCCTAATAGAGTAATGGTGTTTAAACAAGGCATATGATGATACTTTGAATTTGTTTGTTTATTTGATTTATAGACATTAGGTAGAAAACAACTGAAAGTAGAAAGTGGAACACCTTATGGAAATTTCAAGGTCCTTCACCTACTAAACTTGGAATGCTTAAGCCTAGAAAAGAAATTCATACTTAATTCTCTTCCCAACAGTGTAGGAAATGGAAAAAAAGAAAGAAGAAGAAAAGAGAAACTTTTTGTTGCAGCCAAGGAACCACAGTGAAGATCATGAGAAAGCTGGGGAAATGGATTGTAGAGGAGACAGGATATCAGGGTGCATTTTCCTGGAAAATGTGAATAACTTAAATCAGTCTGAATTGGGATATTATTTAGGGGATGGCGACCAGATGTTTTCCTTAGCTATCGGTTGATGTGAAGATAAAGGAATTGTAGCCAAAAGAACATAAATGGGAGATGGGGAGAGGAGTTCTGGCTTTTGGACCATTGCATTGTCTTCACTAAAGACTGGTATTTTATTTAAGTGCAGGAACTGGACATTCTCAGATACAAAGCCAAGAGAGTTGGACGTGACTTTGGCGTTGTTCAATGTGTTTAATTTCTGGCTCTTTTCCCTAGTTTGTTGAAACCATTTTGAAGGGCTGATTTAGGCCCTGAGTCATAATAACTCAGTCTCAGGAGGCTTCCATATCAGGTATTTTCTTCAGTTAGAGAACAAGGCACACCAGTTCCCTTCCTTCTGTGTCAACACCATCCTTTCTCTCTTTGCTTGGTTCATTTTTTCTCATAATGGACAATAGTCTCCCTCCAATCAAGCTGAGCATCTTACATATTGCAGGGTACATGAGCCACAGTAAAACTTAACTGTGGAAACCCTGGGGGTTCACACACTTATTTCTGATAGTAGAAAAATACAGATTGGTGTGTGATATAAACCTGAGCACTATTGGGCATCATTACCTTTAATTTTTATCTTCCACTTGGAGTTGCAAAAGGACAAGTGCATTTTCTACGTTTCTCTCATTGTCCTAACATTGAATGGAACCTTTACCATCACATCAGCTTCGCAATTTTAATACTAGCTTTTCAGTCACACAACTGTCACCATCACCAGCTTCTGACAGGAGCACCAGGGACATGATGGACTGGGGAAAGGGAAATGGAAGCTCGTTTGTGAATCTATGTGGTTGTCTTGCATAGAATGGTTATACTGAAGTGATGAATTTGACCAATCAAATGGAACATATAAATTATATAGATATAATTCATATCTATATATGTACTATATTTATATATGTGTATCTATATATCGGTATGTGTGTGTGTGTGTGTGTGTATATATATATATATATATATATATATATGTATGTACTGTTAGTCATTCTCTCTATAGAATCAGTAACTGAATCAAATGGTTCCACTGCTTTATTTTTTCTCTCTGTCTCTATATATCCTTCTTTCTGTCTGTTTCTTTCTCTCTCTTTGTACCAATACTGGGTTTGACCTCAGGGCCTGGGCACTGACACTCAGCTTTTGTGCTCAAGGCTGGCACTTATCACTTAAACCACAGCTCCACTTCCAGCCTTTTGTTTGTTATTAGAAGATAGATTTTTGTGGACTTTCCTAATTGGGCTGGCTTGCAATTGCAATCCTTGAATCTCAGCCTCCTGAATAGCAAGGATTATGGGCATGAGCCACCAGTGCCCAGCTTGCGTTTTTTTCTGATTTTTGTTCAAAGAAAACTTTCTATAAAATAATATTCCTATGCTAAATATAAATTATTGCAGCTGATTAGGGAAACTAGACAAGATCCTTGAGATTGGACTTATTTTCTACATTCCTTAATAAGTCATTCTTTGTATTATATATGTGTATTCCTCAGCTAAAAGCTTCTATCATAACAACAACAACACACACAAGAATAGTTATTTACTGATTTTATATTTGTAGCTCTTATTTTCTTTACTACTTGTAATTTGTATGGTGTGTGTGTGTGTGTTTGTGTTTCTGTGTGAGAAAGAGAGAGAGAGAGAGACAGAGAGACAGAGACAGAACTAGGGCTTGGACTCAGGGCCTTGTACTCTGCTCTTTCTTGGCTTTTTTGCTCAAACTTGGTGCTCTACTGCTTGAGCCATACCTCCACTTGCAGCTTTGTATTGATTTCTTGGAATAATAGTCTCACAGACTTTTCTGTCCTGACTGGCTTTGAACCTTGATCTTCAGATCTCAGCACCCTAGTATCTGGGATTACAGATATGCACTGCCAGCATCCAGTTTTCCTTGTAATTCTTGAGATAATTACTTGATCTGAATCTTCACTAATGGATTCATTCAAGAGACCTTGTGTTTTCCACAAAACCACCTTCTTTATGATTGATCTCTCCCCAAGGCAGCCCCAGAGATGGGTGTCTGGCATTGGGTTTCATACATCCTGAGTGGCTGTGTTCAACTTCTTCTCTACCTTTGTTTATCATTGCAGCTTCCTTTGAATGTTTTCAATAATTACTTCAGCCTTGGATTTGATGCTCACGTCACACTGGAGTTCCATGAGTCCAGAGGTGAGGACTGCGTCCCCTTCCCGTCTCCCAGGGAGGAAGTGTCCAGCAGGTGTTTTGCATGTTTCCTTCTGCTTGCCTTCCTTTAAGTGTTTGCAGCGTGCTTTGGTGTTGCTCCGTTTACCTTCATGATGACCTTGGAAGCTAGACTAGACAGCTGTTTACTGCAACTTGCTACAAATGGGATCTTGGTTGTTTTGTGTTTTAAAGATAGCAAAAGGATAGGTCTACAGTAGCAATTGTTAATCTTTAAGTTTGACAAGAAATTTTCTGTGAGTGATCTGCTATGATAAGGAGACTCTTTTAATAATTAGGATATGCCTAACTCAAGCCATTGAAATATGATAGCAAAAACAAACCAATAAACAAGAAACAAAAGTAACAATGGGGTAACAATAGGTAGTTTGGGTAGAAAGAGCAGAATGTGGTAGTGATAGTGATTGGATTAACTGGGTGAGAAAGAGATATGAATGAGATTGAGTGCTTATTTCTGGTACTAAAAGAGTTGGAGTCAAGACAAGTTTTGAAAAAAAAAAGTAAGATGAAATAGTGACATGCAAATTGCATGTCACCTAAGTTTTCTTATGCCATTCAATGCCTGTGCAGTCCAACGGATGACACAAGATGGCGAAAAAAGGTTACTCATGTACAGTATTCATGATCCCAAAGCACATATTTATGCTGCTGTGAAAAGTGAGGAAGAACTTAAGGATAGTCCCAATTAAGTAGCAGAATCTCTTCCGTCCTCTGCTTTTAATGGGTCGTGTTCCCTGGGTTTCAGTTACAGATCAAAGGGCAGATTTTAAAGGGCAGATAACAGCATGTCAGGAAGGGGCAAAGGTTAAGTACCCACAGGCACTCATCCTGTCTTTGGAGAGGGTCATGGGTTAAATCTCTATAGAGATCATATTCTGTACCAAACAGAAGCACTGAGGAAAGAAGCCTGATGAGCTGGGAAATCACAGAGAGAAAAGATAATGAAAGAATTGCCTGGATCCCAATATAGAAAGCCACTCTCCCGCACCCCTTAGGAATTAGATGATTAGAAGGACTCCTGTTGGACCCAATATTTTTAGCCTGTTGTTCTTTCTAGATTATTAAGCGCTCATTTTGGAAGTAAATGTGAGACTTCAGTTTTTATCCATGTTCCCCCTCATGTTCTTTAAAAGACTCTGAATTTAGATTTCTTAAATAGTAAGATCTGCGTGTGTCTTAACAATACTTGTAAAATGATACTAGTACATGAATTTCCTAAAATAGGATTCTGGCATGAGAAGAGACCTAAATTAGTAAATAGTACACAGTGACTTTGTTCAAATGGCTCTGATATTTAGCTTAATTATTCAGAAAGTTATCCTAATGGTTCATTTCCTATCCTATGATTAAATTGCTACATGTCAGCATGAGGAAAAACAGGGCCAGACACAAAGGTAGCAAAGAATTATCTTGAGGACTATCTACTATCTTAACGTATGCCCTATTTAATTTAGACTGGAATAAGTAAACATTAAAGGTGTGCATTCATGTTTATATGTAGATGATTATAAAACAACTGATTGAAGGATGGCATCATTCATCTCTGAATGGTTTATCATTGAGGCCTAGTGCATTGTCATGTGGTCTGAGGTGGAATTGTGAACACTTCCCCTACATGTCAGACAGAGACTTTGAGGAAAAAGTAGCTGCAAAGAACTCATCAGGGAGAATTTTGTTGATGGGAATGACTTGATTCAGTATTTATGAGGTGTGACACAGGTGGCAAAAAGCACCTTACAACTAAGTTGTGTTTGTAACCCTAGGTTATAACCAACTTAAGTACAATAATTGTTTATGTGCAAAAGATATGATTACTCAAGGTATTTTTCGATGTATTTTTCTGACTGCTGTGGCCTTAACTTTTCCCCATTTTTTTAAATCTTATTGTTCAAGAAACCTTTAGCTAATCTGTAAAAGAGAAAAAAAAAACATGACACATAAAGTAACATTTGCAATAGGGATGGAGATGAGTCCTTTTAGTTGAGTCATTTGGGGGCAATGATTGGCTATTTTCCAACCAAATCTTCTCAGACTCAGTCACTTATACTTTTAGTTTTCTGATAAAACATTGTAGAATTTGCTATCAAGTATCTGGGGAGTAACTCAAGTCTCATGAGAGCCATTGGGAAATAATGGTCTTGGCTAGCCCAGCCTCTTAGGGACTAGTAAAGAAAATGCAGTCTGTTAAGTTTGGAATTAGGCCAGCCCATGTATGTGTAATGGATAAGAAATATAAGTCTTATGAAATTGGAGTGGAAAAAAACTCTAACCACAAAAATGTCTTTTTGGTACAGAGGTGAAAAGAACCCATAGAAAACCTAATTTTTAGTAGAATACCTATGCTGTATTTCTCTTAGAAGAGATCATTAAAATTGGCATTTATTTTGAAACATTTTTATTCGTTTCATTACTGTGCAGATGCTTTGAGCATTAGACTTTTTCCTTACAAGGAAGTAAGGAAATCTCTTCACATTTTGTTTGATGTTATACATAAAGAAGGCAAACATTTGACAATTTGGGTTTCTATATTGGATTAGAAAGAAAATATCCTTCTCTGGGGGTGGAAACAGATATATCTCATCTTCACAAAATGGCCAAACCATTCTCAGTTGAACTCTTGTGACTTTTGTATCAGAAACTGCAATGGCTTAGAGCCAAAATCTGGAGATTTAATGAGCTTGGTCATTTAAATGGTCACTTTGGAGTATTACCCAGTATTTTCATCATTACGGCATTATCACACTGCTTGAGGGATCACATTGAAAATATTCTGATAAATTAGTACTTAACCATGTTAACCATGATTACGTCTCTTAGTGACAAAGTTAGGGTTCTCTCTGAATGAGATGGTCACTTTTTGGACATGGATCTTAAACACACTTTTGGTCTGAGATGGGATGCTTACATTTTACTGCCTCATTGAATTTGTTGAACTTTGTGCTACAAGGTCAAACAAATGCAATTATGACTAGAGAAGGCAGTACTTAAATCTGATTTAGGATTTACCATTTCCACTGAATATACAGAGACATGCAGTTCAGCACATCTCAAACGGTCATGGTGTTTCATGATTCATATCATAGGAAACCCACAAATTTCCTTCAAAAGGTATTATCAGGGTTGCTAAGTTTCCTCCTTGCTGTCCTCTGCATGTTTCTTGTCTAGGCACTGACCCCTGTGTACAGTTTGCCCTGGAGACACACCAGCTGTGGTTCTGTGTCTAAAGCTATCTTTCTATCTGGACTTCCATTTCTCCTTTCACTGTACCTTCCCGTGCTACATATATGATTGTTCTTCCATATATCTAACATAGATATAGATATACACAGAGAGCTCACAGCCCATGTAAAAAGATGCTTTGCTTTTCATGATCAGAAATTGAGCCCCTCTCCATGCTCCATTCCACGAGGGAAAAAGGCTACCACTTATTTATGTTTATATTTCCAGTTCACAGCCCAGTGGCTGGCTCAGTTCCTGTTTTTTGTTTTTGTTAACAATAACAGAATGTTTAATTGTAGAAATAATCCATGATCAAAGGAAAATGACAGGATAAAATACTATGTAGGAACAAGTTTAGTAATGCAGGCAGTAGTTAATATAGGCATTTAGCAGGACTAATGGCCAAGAAAGAGTGTAGGGGAAAGGTCTAGTAAGTACAAAAGGTAATGAAACTTGGAGATGAAAGTGGAGTGGGAAGGTACATAAGAAGTTGTTGAAAACATTTCCAACTGGACAGAAAAGTATACACAGGAACAGGGAGCTTCTCCTGGGGATGAGCAGTTAATACACACTGAAAGAATTTGGTATGGTTTTAGAAAAAATAAAGATGGTAATACCAGCAAAATGTTTGTTTTCATAAGAGATGAGCTTGAAAAGAAGGGAAAATGTTTTAAACATTTACAATGTAAATTGAAGGTGACTCTGTTACTGGGGACACAGATGATAGAGTCATTCCCTTCTGATAACTAAACTCTTAAAATGGAACAAGTACTCAGTAGAGTGAGTATGGAAGATGTATGGGTTGCAGGGTGTTCATGTTGCATACTGAGTTTTGATAAGCGTGGTGTCATACTTCACACTTCATATTTACAAATGTCTCAGTAAATGCCTCAGGCAAACTGGATTTGACTTGCATTTCAGGCAAGATGCTGAAACTAGAGTCAAAGAGGAGAGTGATAAAGAAATTCACACTGAATTTATGTGTGCATACTTACATATTTTTAACAGCTGCTAGTGCAATGACTCCAATCTGAGTTTTGACTTAAGGGTTTTCCTTGTCAACCTACAGCATTGGGGGGAAAAAAAAGTCCATATAGATCCTGTGAGAAAGAACCCAGTTTGGGAAATTTGGAATTATATTTTATCACATGGCCTATACAGCTGGGTTCTAGGTCAGTCTTACCATTCTGCCTTTCGGTGTGAGCTGCTGTTCCCTTTTGTTATCTCATCTGGAAATCCCAGATAAGAGGTGTTGAAGTAAGGGAGAATGTGAATGCGCAACCGCATTTTAGCCAGTTTGGATGCATGTTTAAAGCAGTACAATGACAGAACAGTTTAAAAACAGTTAAAGGAAAGAAGCCTCAGTAATCTTGTGTTTGTTTAATAAAACTTGAGATTATAAGAGTTTGTTTATGCCATTATTAATTTTACATGGTATGTTTTCAGAAATACAAGTAACCAGACATACTGATTTTGAACTACATAATCCACATTCTGATGTCATTTAGTTTTTTGAGTTTGACAATGAAGAATATAGCTTAGTTATCTGCGTTCCATCTACTTACTGGGTTATAAAAAACACCTACAATACTGAATTTCCATACGGAGTGATGAACAACAGAACTTGGAGATGGTTCCACATGAGCATGGCTTGTGATTCCATTTATCTATACATGTGACTTCACACAGGCTGTTTGTTCCCTATAAATGTTGGCCAATAGGCTTTATGTGTTTACAATATAAGAACTCTGATTTTCAGATGATCATAATGGTATGTCAGTTAACGACATACTATAATATCAGAGTACATAAGCCAGTGCATGTATGAGCACACTTTCATGAACTTGTGCTGTTTGGGGTCTTGAGGAACCTGAAGTTGGGCCAGAAAATATGACACTACAGTAGTTCACTAGTAGTCCTCAGGTTTATGCATTCATAGTCTTTTTTAGAGGGATAAAGGGATGGGGTGTTGGTATGCCAGCCTTATTGGGAATGAAGCATATGAACAGCTCTTTGAAGCCTTTTGCAATATCAGTAGTCATTGAACTTATAGTAACATACTTATTTATTACATGGATCTGTTACATGTATTTTTGGCCCAATGTGGTCAAAATAAATAAAGTAAATTAAATTGAAAAATTAAAAGCATGAATTCTTGGGCACATCTTTGTCATCATCAATTGTGCTTAAATCATTGTGTGATCTGCTGACCATTCGACTATCCTTAATTTGCTGAATATATGTCTCCTTCAAGGCAAATGAGATTGCCCAAACAAGGTAAAAGCTAATGTGCTTAATTGGAAGGAAATTGTTGGGAGCCAGCATGTCTTTCCCAGAAATTTGATGATATGATGAGAAAAAAAAAATGATTCACGCATCCCAAACTATCCAAACTCTCTGGTGTCCTGAGCATTCATAGTTTTTCTTTTCCTCAGTGGACGTCTCTTTGGACATATTAACATATTGACCATCAGCTGTGTATGTTTTGGATGTCCAGAAGTTTCAGCAATGATAGATACTTGGAATACAATTGCTGTGTGACTTAGTTATCTGTGTGCCGAACATAGGAACAGCGGCTTAGATGTCTTGCTTTTCCTGCCTTTTTGATGACACCCTTGTTAGGAAGGATATATGACTGGCTCAAAGAAAACTGTCTGCAGGGGCCCTGAGGGGGTCGAGGAGTAAACTTAATTAGACAGGAAATCTTTTAAAATAAGCCAATGTGTTTTTGCTGGCCTCTGCCAAGACCTAGAGGTTGACAGCTGGGCTGAAATAAATGTGTGAAGGGACTTAAAGGTAAATAAGCAAGATGGTCACAGAGGAAAGCAAGGTTTTAGGATCCTGGTTCAGATAGCACATATCATGTGGATATCTATGGTGTATAAGGGTTGACCATATATTTAATCAATTGCCTGGATCTTACACAGAGCTCCCTCCATTGTCATTAGAAACAGATTACATACAGAGACAAACCATTTAGGAGATTTAGATAATAAGATTTGGGATGTTTGAGCTAATTGGATTCAGATGAGAATTGCGGGGGGGGGGGGTAATAATGCTATATTAAGAAGAGACCTTCCAGGACATTGGAGGGAGCTCATTAATTATTCTCTTTGCCTGGGGCTCAGAGAGTCGACGATGGAAGGTAGAATTGTGGCCTCCATGGCAATTGCTATCTGTTGTTATGCCTGTGGTTACATTGCTGTGCATGGAAAAAGGACTTAATTGAAACGAATCTATCAGCTGGCTTGAAGATAAGAAGAGAATCTTGGGTTATATCCATGGGCCCAGTGCCATAACTTGAGCCCCGAACAAGAGAAGTGGAGGGCAGAGGGAAAGGTAGATACAGAGTGTGATATTTGGGATGCTCTTGTTGGTTTGACAATGGAAGGGAGCAAGCCAAGGAATGCGGATTGCCTACAGAGGTGAGAATGAACCCTCGCCTAGGGAAAGAGAACTTCAACCCAGCATCCTCAAAGGGTTGGATCCTGCCAGTGACCCAAGCAAGCTTGGAAGTGAATCATTCCCAGAACCTCTCAATATGGGCCCCACAGTGGGCCAACTTGATTTGGGCCTTGTAACACCCTAATTAAGCAGAGTGCCGGGAGACCCCATTCCAGAATTTTGACCTAGAGAACTGTAAAAAGATAAATTGATGTTGTTTGAAGTTGTCAATTTTGTAATGAACGATTTGTCTTGGTACGAAGAGGAGACTAATAAATGTTGGTGTGTGGTCAGATGGAAGGTGGAATAAGGCAGGGACAAACATGGGAAGTGTTTGGATCTCACTGTGTCATACTCTCTTCTTGTGGAGTTGGAGATGGGTGATCTAGGAATTGGAACAATAAGCAAATTATGGATGTAGCCACGGTGAAGTCTTTTTAGCTCATGGCTGGGAACAGGGACTCTAGTACATATTCATGGACACAGGCAGTAAGCTAATCACTTCCTCTGAATGGCATATGGAGAAGGACTGAATATTGCTGTTTGCTGGCCATTTAGCTCTTGCTTTCTGGTTGCCTAACCTCTGGAGGAAATGGCCCAGCTCTAGGACTAAGTAGGACATCTCGCTTCTTTTAGCTCTAGTTCACATTTTTTTGTCCTTCTGAATGTGATGGTTTCTTGCAGTAGGTCAGATACACGAATTGGAAAAGGACTCTATTGCCAAGGCAGGCTCCATCTGTGACTATGAGGTATAGGTTTCTTATCCTTGAGGCCAAAACATACGTATGATTTCTCTTACCCTTTGCTTTCTATGACTCTCTGAGACCTCTGTTAACTATCTTCATCTTGACTTATATCAATGACTTTTACCTGGCTAAATTAAATCAGAGGTGACAGTTTTCAACAAATGTGTAAGCAAAACTACCCCAAAACTTAATTTTATTCTGAATTTGGGGGTCTTACAGGAAATGGTTTCTTTTGAGAAGAACAAAAAACTCGTTTCTTTTTTTTTTTAAAAAAAAGGATTTTTTTCTAGGACCACAGAAAGCCCCATAGAGAAGTGAATATTTTCCAAGCCATAAATTATAAACATATAAATGTTAATCATTACCATCTGATTCATTTAATAGCCATAGACATCAATGCCCTGAAAAATTTCTATGCCAGAATTGTGGCTAGTATTTTCCATTTCTCATAACCTGCTAGCTGGATCTGACCATTTTTTTTACATTAGGTCTTATGTACTTATGATAAATTATATGGCAAAAAAGGTTCTCATTTTACCCCTGATTTTATAAAGCAAGAAAGTTAATGCAACTGAAAATGAAAATGGAAGGAAGCCAGCCCGATCTGATTGAAAAAGAGTCAAAACCCACATGTCACTCAGCAGCCTCATGAATCCTAAGAAGACCTAAGGGAGAAAGCCAGTCAGCTCTGGGCAAAAATGGAAATAAGGGGCAGAAAGCAATAAAGACCATTTTTATCTTCTTCTTGCTTGCTTTTCTCTATAAATTAACTTTTTGTTTTGTTCCTGGAGTTCTTGGCTAAGTCACACAGTGCCTAGGAAAGTTTTGAAATACAGGAACTGGACATTGATTTAGGTAGATAAAGGTTAAGAACCAATCTACAAAAGCATTACCTTTTTCTTTTCTCTTATGCCACTCTTGGGACTTGGACTCAGGGTCTGGATTCTGCCCCTGAGATTTTTGTTCAAGGCTTGTGGTCTATCATTTGAGCCACAGCTCCAACTTCCAGCTTTTTGGCAGCCAATTGAGATAAAAGTCTCATGAACTGTCCAGCGTGGGCTGGCTTTGAACTGTAATCTCAGATCTCAGCCTCCCGAATAGCTAGGATTACAAATGGCACCTGGCTTATTGTATCTGTTTTGAGTCTCCAACTTCTATGCTATATAGGAACAAACTCCCAATGGAGTTTCCCAGTTAGGATCTTTGCTACAATGAAATCATTCTTTAGCCAGAACATTTGCTGTAAGAATCTGTATCAATTCGGCAAGCCATCTGTGTGTGCGTGCGTGCGTGCGTGTGTGTGTGTGTGTGTGTGTGTGTGTTCACTACAACAAATGATTTTCCAAGGCCTGCCACCAGCAAGAGAACAGATGGCAATGCAGAGTTATTATTTTTTTTTGCAAATTGTGAGAACAAGTTCCTTATTAATTTTGATTCAAATTCCTTGTATTTAATTATAGCTGCAGGCTGCACATGTAGTTTATGGAAGCCATACCTATAGAAGTCAGTAAAAAATAGGCTGGGCTGTACGGCTTATACCTTCAATATTAGCTGTTTTGGAGGCAAAGATTGGGAGATTTATGGTTTGAGGCCATACTGGGCAAAATATACCAAGTCCCAATATCAGCTAAGATCCAGATATGCCATTTCACATCTGTAATCCCAGTGATGTAGGATGCATCTTCAGGATGACTGTGGCCCAAAGCCAGCCGTGGGCAAAAAAATGAGCCATCGTACCTGAAAAGCAAACAAACAAACAAACCCAAAACAACAACAACAAAAAAAAGCAGAAAGAATGGAAGGAATAACTCAAGTGGCTTAGAAAGTCCAAGGCCCTGAGATTAAACCCTGTTATCATCCATTCACCCCTACCCCCAAAGTAAGTGAAAATAGCAATGTCCTCCGCTTTCTCCCTTCTTTCCCTGTCATCTTTGCCCCAAATATGTGCCAAGCCTCAATTTAATAGAGTCCAGAGCATCTCAAACCTTGTGTGTTCTTGAGAGTTACCTGGAGAGGGTGACAAGCTCTCATTTCTAGTCTCTGCAGCCAGGCACTCTGCTTCTCTAGATTAAAGTAGAACCTAACGATTCGCACCTTTAGCAAGCTCCCAGTTAGCTCCAATGCTGCCAATTTGGAGTTATCATTGGACAACCATACCTGTGCTACTGTACCACGATAGCAACTGGCCTAGAACTGAGAGAAAGGGCATCACCAAATGATCAGATCTGGTGGATTTTCAGGGTGGAGGCTGGGAGTGAGGATGGGGTAATATGGTCATTTAATGAGGTCTTTACAAGTCTATCTCTCCTCTTTTGCAGAAGCAAATCCAGAGAAATTCAATAGTCGCTTTCGAAATAAAATGTTCTATGCAGGGGTAAGCATATGTTTGTTTCCTCATTATTCCATATCACTTCATACTAATTACTCAGTATGACTAAGTACTAAAGATTCTAGTTAAATGAAAAGTAATAACACATACTTCACCTACATAGTTATTATTTGATGTTTTCATTAAAGAATATTAGTAAGGCTGTGTTTTTCAAATTTGTTGTTACAAAGGGTACTGTATTGCTATTCATCCTCTTCAATTTTTTTAAAAATATGTGTGTGTGTAATAAACTCAAATCTGGTGCTCTACCACTTGCGCCAAGCTCCATTTGGGGTTTTTCAGTAGTTAATTAGAGATAAGAATCTCACAGACTTTCCTACCCAGGTTGGTTTTGAACTGAGATCCTCAGCTCTCAGCCTTCTGAGTAGCTAGGATTGCAGGCATAACCACTGCCAGGTTTCCATCTTTGAATTTTAGATTCCCTGATGCTCCATGTTGTTCAGGATGACACAAGTAATGATATGAAAAAAAAAGAAGCATCAAATGTAATGGAAGGAATGAGGAAAGCAGAGAGAAAAAAATTTCTATCTATCTATCTTATAATAAAAAGTAGCTTCTGCCATGGCATTTATACACTGAGGCTGAAATGCAGTTTTGTAGAACATGGGGATTGTTTTTAAAGAAAGCATGTATTAGAGTTGTTGGAGTTTCCTTTCCATTGTAGCAACATCCCTGGGGGTGAGAAGAGATGGAGAAAAGAACATGTAGACGATTCATAAAGAGGACACAGTTTAAATGAATGCTATTAGATAGAGGGAGTCAAGACAATCAGGGTCAAGTGGGAGTTCTCAGCTGCAGGTTATGGATAGATCTTCAGACAGATCCCTTGGGCTATCTGCTTTCCCACCATCCTGTAACCTGAAATCTTATTACAGGTTTTAGTTTGAAAACAAAGAGAAAGGCTTTGATTCGTTAGCCATTGATCTGCTATTTTATATTTTCGCTTGGTATGACATGTAATACATACAATACATATAATGTAGAAGCGAAGGTTTAGTAAAACTGTAATTAAGATTTGCTGTTTTCTTTATTTCCCTGTGATATAGGCGGCCTTTTCTGATTTCCTGCAGAGAAGTTCTAGAGATCTATCCAAACATGTTAAAGTTGTTGTAAGTATTGACTGTATCAGTTGATTTCATTTGCAATTTAGATATCACACAATTTTCTTTCCAAACACCCCTTAACCTACAGGACTACACAGTTTACAGATCACCTGGTGGATGGAATTCATCAAGCCAACCTTTTGAATACTTACTAAGTATGGGGCACTGTCTTAGTTGCTGGGAATATAGACAAATAGAAAGGCTAGCAGTAACTCACAGTTCACCCCTAGAAAAAGGCACACAGATCACTGCAGAACCACTGGGTAGACATTATTCAGCCATGATGCAATGTGTGCTGGCACAGGGGAGACATGGTAACTCAGACCATGATGAGATCACAAAGACCTTCCTCAAAGCCATGACTGTGCTGCTTTTGAAGTGTAACCCAGTGCTGAGTAAGCAAGTATCTTCAGGACTTGTGCAGAGTTCCATTTTTAAACACGGTGCACTGATTTTTATTGTTCTGAGGTGATTCCTCTCCAGTTTGGTTAAAGATCCCCATCCCTGAATGGATTTCTCCTGCTATTTTTTCCTTCTGTTTAGATCTTGCATATACTCTACTTAGAGGCAAGAGAGAGATAACTTTTACCTTTCTGTAGCTGATACATTCTAAAACAGCATGAAATTAACTAAAGAGAACAAAATGTTTCTTAAGTTAAATGAAGATTGCTTTGTTACACAGAGTTGTATCAATCAATCAAAAGACTGAAGAAGAAGAATATGAATAGAAAAGGTATAGCAATGTAACTGTGCTTGGTTTTATCATGGTCTACATAGAGGAAATGTGATCAGGAGGAGTAGAAACATACATATCTATATATATGCATGTACATATATGTATATGTATATACATATAGGAAAATAGAAAAAATACATGCTATTAAGCTAATGAGGAATGGAGGAGCTTGAGAAGATACAAATAAATTTTGTAACCACCAGAAAAACATATATTGAACAGAAATCTCCTACAGCTGATGAAACCAGAGGCAAAGACCTTTCTTATTGATTAGAATAAGCCTTCACCTATGTTTGGGATGTTTTGTTTCTTGTTTTCTTATAACGGAGTGAAAAGCAAATATCTGTTAGTGGCTGGGTAAAAATGGAAGTATTGTATTTTTAAAGCTAGATAAAGATATATCATGGCCCACTGAAACTGGAAAGAGTTCCATTTTTGGTAAAATTCTGGTCATTAAATATAAGTAACAATGATATTCTATTAAACTTGCCACTTTATTTTCCAACTCTCCAGCCAACACAAGATAAATGTTACCATTCCTGCTAATATTTTTTTTTCCATTGGAAGAACATCAGTAGTGGCTGCCAAGCCAGCCAGTGAGAGCTGGGCAGAGGCCATATTGAATGTCAGTTCCAATCAAGTCAGCCAGAGTGAAATTAAACCTCGCATACTTCCTAATCACTACAGAGTCTGTCGCTCAAATCTGGCAGGCCTTTTGATGTTACACATCTCATATTACATTTACCAAGGGTAGGGAAGAGCTTGCAGAGAGGCCTACGTGGCAGAAAATCACTAGCAAAGATTAGAGGATCAGCATGGGCGTGTAATATTCCAGGTAGAATATTGATCTAATCACGTATTTTTAGCAATGGGTAGAAGACTTTCAGAAATGAAGTGTGGACATTTGGGATTGAGCCTTCAGTCCACCTTTCCTTGGTATACGACTTTGGAGAAATCATTTGCTCTTTTGGAGGAGCTGGTTTTCCATATCTGTAAGGCAGGTACAACAAGAATATCTCCAAAAGCAGCGCGTGTTGGCCACCATGCTGTGGCATAAGATGATTCTTCTGTGACAGTGGTATATGCTTTCCTAATGCAAAAGATGAAAGTTTATCTGAGTGACTGGATATTGGGTTAGTTTGGCTTCTCATTCCTGTGACAGAATATCTGAGAGATAGGTGAAAATAAAGTAATATTCACTGTGGCTCATGGTGTCAAGTGGTTTTAGTTTAGTGATTTCTGACTCCATCATTTCTGAGTCTGTGGTGGAGCTCGGCATTGTGGTCAAAGAGTAGGGGACAGTGAAGATTCTTATCTGATGGTGGCCAGGAAACAGGGTATGAGAAAAGGTTTGTAAATAAGTTATACCCTTCCTGTCTAGGGCACCCATGCTCCTCTTCTTCCAGCGTGGGCCCCACATCCTCATAGCCTGTTTAGCTAGACACTCAGGTAAAAATTAATCCATTGATGACTGCATCAATCTGCTGATTAGTCTACTGAGAACTCACTGATCATCATGAACTAATCATCTTTCAGTAGTACTACTATCTAGGCACAGAATCTTCAATGAATGAGCCATTTGTGGGGAAGCTTCCAGTCCCAAACAAAGCATATGTGTAGACAATAGATCCTTATATTTTCTGTAAGGTAAAGTCAGTATTTCAGATGCAGTATAAATGTGCTGCAGTTGTAAAATATTTATATTGAATACTGGGCCAAGAGAACGCAAAGCAACTCTAAATGTCCACATATAATACTATTTGCTTTGCTTCCCACATTGTTATTTGAGTCATCAATATTTCAGCTGTAAACAAGAACATATTTTGCAGGTCAGTATCTCCCATTGTGTGTACTGGAAGAAAGGGAAGACATCGAAAACTACTCTTCTCAAGAATTGTACAGCCGGGCACTGGTGGCTCACACCTGTAATCCTAGCTACTCAGGAGGCTGAGATCTGAGGATCACGGTTCAAAGCCAGCCCGGGCAGGAGAGACCGTGAGACTCCTATCTCCAATAAACCACCAGAAAACCGGAAGTGGAGCTGTAGCTCAAGTGGTAGAGCGCTCGCCTTGAGCTGAAGAGCTGAGGGACAGCGCCCAGGCCCAGAGTTCAAGCCCCCCGACCGAAAAAAAAAAAAAAAAGAATTGTACAGTTCAATATGATACTACATTAAAAGCTTTGTGGCGTATTCTGTATTTCAAGGTCCATATCTTTATATGATGTGATGAGCTCCCCGAATCACTGACATATTTCCCAGAAGGAAAACTCAGAAAGAAAACTCAGAAACAATTATTCTGTCCTAAAGACAGAATAATTTTTGTCACAGTATTTTTCTGTAATACAGCAACTCTGTTTTGCATTCTATTAATATGTTATATTCTACATTTTGAAAGTTTTCAGTTGCTTAAAACCCTTAACTTGGAGAATTTAAAATGTTTCCTTCATTGCTGTGGTCAACTACAGATTCACTATAAGTCTTTAAATAAATCATGAGACTTCATGTTTGCTTAATAGTTGAGGCTACCCTAAAAATGCCTTTGATTAGAATCTAGAATTTAATTCTCAACTGAATTGCATTTGAGAAAAGCTATTTCATTTATTTAGGATAGTGAGGTTTTCTGGAGACAGTTTTTGAGAATGCTTATGAAAACTAGGCTGCATTAACCAGCTAGGAAAAGAAGGTACTTAGAGATGCCCTTGAACACTTGTTAAATCATTACATTTAAATTAAGATTCCCCCTGATGAAGTTCTTACAGATCAGAGTGTTGGAATGATTTTTTTACTTATTCCTAAAGAGAATAGAATGCAGAAATTCAGAAATAAAGGGATGAGGAAAGTTTTAAAAAGTTTTAAATAAAAGCAAGCTTCATACTTCTTACCTTGAGGTGTCTGTCATTGGACTAGATTTTCCTCTTTCAAATTTTGTGCCAATGGGAAGTGGGAAAGGGAAATGGAGACTGCTCTTTGGTTAATCTCTGAAGGTATCTGGCATCTGAAGATGACACTGGTACTGAAGGTACTGAAGGATTAGGGTTTGTATTCAGATGTACTGAGGGTATGGGGCTCTGGAGATCAAGGTCATGTTCAAACTCCAACAGAGAAGCTTAATCTGAAGTTCAAGTCAAGTGGGTAAGAGCTGAAATTTGGAACCGCAAAGCACTTGTTAGTATTTTGTGTTTTCTTGGTCTCGTATTCAAGTGCGTATTTTTCATCTGAATGACAGGTCTGATTAGATCTGACTACTAATTAGAGCTACAGCCCAGACTTCACCCTTTGGCAAAGATAAGATGATATATTAAAGATGATACTAATTTATAGTAGATTTCTTTTTTTCCTCCAAATCTTGCAGATTCATACTTCTTGAAAATGGTTCCAAACATTTTGTTTAACATTTTCAGAACAAAAATGATCTCCAAAAACCAAGAAAGTATTACTTGCGTGACTTCATTGAATCAAATTATTGTGGTGCCCAATGACACTCCCTTCCCTCAAAGCTTTGTTCTCCTTATTCTTTTTAAGGGTTTAGATGTCTTGTGCCTACACAGCTAATCATAATCCAAGGTTCACAGTAACATCTTTCCTTTGATTGTGAGAACAGGGAATATAGTTGGTCAAATGCTTGGTTTGTTTTATAATTTTAAAACATATATGGCACTCCGGGTATAACCTCTAGTAGCACTATAAGCAGCATACATTTTCAATCATGGTAAAATCCATTCACTTCAGCAAAGATAGGGAAAAGGAGACGGGATGGTAAACTATGTTTGATAAGGTTTTTTTGCTTTTTCTGGTTTGATTGTTGCAGTGCGATGGGACAGATCTCACCCCAAAGATTCAGGAACTGAAGTTCCAGTGTATAGTATTTTTAAATATACCCAGGTAAGCTCTGTTAATATTGTTTTCATGGTTTGGGGAGAACTCTGCTTAGAGGACATCCGTTTCCATAACAGAAACATTTCAGCCTTAACCAATCAAAATCAGTCCTGTTGAATGGCTTCATGAAGGTCTTCCAGGTCTCTGTTGTTTTGTTTACTCAGTTCCCTGTGGCAGGAGATTTTATGTGTGATAGAACATTCCTGCTCTACTCATCCAGCATTGAGAAATTCAAGCAAGCCCTCTTGTTTGGAAGATTTCCATCTAATACTCAGTTACTGCCCCAGTTCCACTCCACCATCTCCAAGAAAAATAAATGTGAATTATTGACTGTTCTCAGTCAATGCTAGATGATTGCTTTGGAAAATTAATTAGAGAAGCATTTTCTAGCCAGGATGTCAGATCTTTTGGTATTATTTCATACCCCAGGAGAAAGGAATACTTAGAATCAACTTGTCTCAAAATGAGCACATTACCTCAATGGCATAAAATTAGATTCCAGGATCCCAAGCCAAGATTTGGGAGGGGATAAATGTATACCCCTCTGTTACTTGCCCACTAAATGATTCAGATATGAAACCCACAAATAAGCTCTACTCAGACTGAATTGAATTAAAATGAGAGTTCTGTGTAAATTTATGTCTAGGAAAACATAGCCTAGTGTCTTGATTGTTCCTGGCAGTGCTGAGTATAGTCAGTTGCAATCTTATTCCAGAGGTGGCTTTGGCTTAGATTCACTAGAAAGTCCAGATTCTCAGAAATGAGTGGCTTAGCTGTTACTATTAGTTTTACTCTTTCTCTTCCCCTTCTCTTTCTTCCCTTTTTCATCTTCTGATGATTTTGTGTTTTCTTCTGCTACTTTTCCAATTTTCTTTATTTTCCTCCCTCCCTCCATCTTTCCCTTGCTTCCTTCCTTCCTTCCTTCCTTCCTTTCTGCCTGCCTGCCTTCCTCCTCCCTCTCTCCTTCCTTCCCTCCTTCCCTCCCTCCCTCCCTCCCTCCCTCTCTCCCTCCTTCCCTCCTTCCCTCTTTTCACGTCCCTCTTCTCCCTTCCCCTCCCTCTAAAAGATCTCACTTTGTAATGCTTTGGCCTCTCCGTTCTCTCATTAGTATTCACCACCACATCTTGCAAATTTCATTTCATGCATTTTTTTTGTTCTCTTCATTCCTCTCTACTTTGGTTACCTAAAAATTTTTGTTGGCATGTTTGTCTTAACTATCTATATAATGATAATCATGATTTCTATTTTTATCTCTTTTGTACCTGCATGTATAATTCTTCCTTCAGGCATAAATTCCATCAACAGATAATTAATAACGTCATAGAAAGTAGATAAATGTGAATCCTACAGTGGTGAGAAATGTGGAGATAGAATGAGCTGGGGGGAAATTGAGCACGAGGGAACAGCTTTGCTCTGAGATTATGATTTATGTTGATAGGAACCTCAGGTTGATATGTTAGAAACAAGTCCGTTTTTTTCCTATGGGAAGATTTACACCAAGGATATAAAGCTTTTTTATATATAAAAAATCTTGCAGTCCAACTAGAAATTCATTGATTTCCTTAAATTTATTTTTACAATAATACATGCTCACATAGAACCTATACATACTTATGGATAAATAGGTGAGTTTTTGGACATGTGTATGTTTCTATTAAGCTGTCCATTTATCCCTGATGATAACTGTATGAATGGACTGTCTTGGTTTGGACCTTGTCTTGCAGATATTGTGCGGGCACAATGCCCTGGGGAAACCCGGGAGATCACCATGATTTTGAACCTCAGAGACATGATGATGGATACATTGAAGTCATTGGCTTCACCATGGCCTCTTTGGTGAGAAATGCAACTGTTTAATTAAAATATATTTGTTACTCGTAGAGTTTATCCACACATACCATGGCATTATTTTTCCCATTTCATTTCATTTTTATTATATATAAGTAGTTGTCCAAGGAGTTACCTACCATTTGGCGAATCAGTTTGTGAATAGGAAGCATCTTTTGATGTGATCTTTTCTCTTGTTTCCCAGTTTACAAACTTAGAAGCAGAATGCAGCTGCTTGGGAAAAACATGAACAAGTTTTATGCCATTCTGAAAACTGATGTTTATTTGTTTGAACTTCAAAAATAAATGAGTTTTGTTTCACACTTTTCCCAATTAACCTCAAGAAGAATAAAACCTTTTTATGTTAATAACAAGCACCAGGCCACTGACATATCCCAACATTGACATAAAAGTTGTAGCATTTGATACTGTCTTGGTTCACTGAGAACTTGAATATTGAAGGCAAAGAGAAATTGGTTATTTGCGTCTAATATTGTCCTGTTTACTTATTCATGAGATGGGCATATCCATCTTAAACAATTTGCATATGGAAACACATCATTCTTCTGACCTTAGTCAATATTATGGTGCTATGTATTAGGTCACCTTGTGTTTTAATGTTGTTTGCTTACATTAAAACATAAATATATATGAATGTATTTTCAAATAGGTTGGGACTAAGAATTCTCATCTATTATTAAATGAGGAGGGAACCAGTTAAAAATTACACTTATTTTATTTTGCATAAATCAGGCTATCCTATAATTTAAGCAAATCAAAATGAAGCCTCTACTTGTAATCTACAGATAATATTTGGTTTGTGTGATCCTTTATGCAGGAAGACATCAAGGTTGTATCTCTTATTCTAAACAAACTAAAGCGGATCTTCTGACAAATGACTCTTTCTCAGTCCTTCAAGTTAGTGAAGTTTATCAGGATCACCTATTGTCATTATGGCTAGTGGCTAGACTGTCACTTTAATTGGTCATTGTTTTTGTTGGAACTGCCATCTCTAGAAATAAGTGGTTGTGATGGTACCAAAAAAAACACTGGGATTGGATAATCAATGTGCACTAAGTGCTTGTATGACATACCCAGTGACACCCCTTTGTACAATGGCTATATACTAATAAAGAAAAGATTGGGAGTACCTATGTCTCAGCATTGCAGCTCAATACTACCCTAACAGCAGGGAAGTGCTCTGTGTCAATAGCAGGGGATAACGTGACAAAGAGCAAATAGGATTAACTTCTAAAAAGGATGCATCCAAGGAAGAAATATGGGTGACTGAGAATGACCATCATTAATAGTAGATGAAGATGCAGATGGGGCAGAAACAGACCCCACTTGGTGGGGAGACGGGGAGATGGGTAAGCCAGGATCAGACCTGTGCTAGGATATCAGTGTAGGAGGCAGCCAGACTTCTACCACTCAGGGCTGACAAATGACCCTGCTGGTACCTGTGTCCAGCTGAAGAAATGAGACCTGGAAGTCTAAGGCAAGAGAATGGCAATGACAATGGAAAAGACTGGTGAGTGGAAGAGTTATTTGGATGCAGTGACTCCATTGTACAAGGAGGGTGGTCAGTGAATCCGGGGGACTACCTTACGCCTCTGGGTTAAGGAAGAATGAATTAAACAGTATAGAAAATATAAAAGACCATTACAAAAGAAACCAACTCCATTCTTATGTATTTTAAATTTGAAATCTCTGTACGACATCTAAGGAAACCTGACATGGGCAACTTGAGATATGTGTTAGAACACAGATCTTTAGATAGACGAGTGTTTTCTTCTCTCCCTTTCTATCATTACTGGGAAAAAGGGAGACATACTAATAGGTGGGGCTTTGCCAATCATATTTTTCCTCTTTCTATAACATAAATATACAACATATATGCCAACTATCGTCCAATGTATGACAGCATCTCCCAATGTAGCATCTCTAGAATGTTTGCAATGCAAGAGCATTCTATCTCACAAGCCGGTGATGTATATAGCTGTAATTCCATGTACATGGCAGGCACAGCTGGAAGGAAGATTGTAGTTGAGGCCGGCCTAGATCCTATCTAAGAAAGAGCTGAAGCCAGAAGGGCTGGGGATGTGGCTCGTGTGGTAGAGCACTTGCTTAGCAAGCATAAAACCTTGAATTCAAACCCAATACCACCACCAGCTAAAATAATTCCACCTCAGAAAGCTGGAATTACACATAGCGTAAGCTATATGGATGGTTTTGAACATCCTGTGGTCTAAATAATACTGGCATCTAACTTCCCTATTTCCTCACACATCTAACCTTATTACTCACATAGCACGATAGCCCTGTATTTTTTCCATTTAGAAATGAAAAAAAATCGTATGTTTAGTTCTGCAATTTTCTATTAAATTTCTCAGAAAGTAATTTATATGAAATACAAGCATCTGTTTAAGATGATAATTTAAACAGAATGTTCTTATCTGAGGGTATGGGTATATTTTTGAGTTTAAAATAGCTCATGTAATTCAAGTCTATTAGCAACAAATTATTTTTCTTGAAAACTGACATGCCTGAATTAATTAAGGACTATATACTTTTATGGTCATGAAATCAACTAATAAATATTTTTACATTGCTTACAATTTAAGTAAAATTCAAACACAAGGAAAATTAGAGAGGCTGTGGGAGAGAGATTTGTAAATAAAATTATTGGAATAAGAAAAAATATTTCTTTTAGATTTTTTAATCATGTAATTGTAAACTTCAAAGAAAAAGTCTTCAATTCATTATTTGATTGAAATGCATTCCTACTAATTAAAATGATTCTCCACTGGGCTCTGGGTTCCCCTATTACCTTTTTAGATTTTCCACAGGCTGTAATCAGGCATTGTAATTTGTATTTATTTCTGAACAATTTTCAGCCATTATAGTTGTGAAAGGTTCTTTCATGTTGAGTCTGTTTCCAAGTAATTTAGAACTCTTCAAGACAGTTCAAAGCATTATTCAGATGGAGGAAATGGAAGCCTAATTTGCCATTCAGCATGACATCTAAGGATTCCAGTCTCATAAACTTTAAAGAAAGCACATCCATCTTTTTGTTAATTGAAATTAGAATGTGTGAGTTCCTTTGCATTTATGATTTAGGAAAGCAAAAGGCCATTCAGAGAAAAAAAAAACACATGGAGCAATTCCCAGGGTTGAGCTTCTGTGTTGTATATAAAAATGATACCTTAAATGTTTGCTTACTCTGATAACACATGGAAGTTGAAGAACTAAAGTAAAAATATTGAATAGAATCACATGACACATACTTTTAATATTCTGGTGTGATGACTTCCAATGGCTTATTTTATGTTTTAAAACATACATAGATCATATTATCATAACTAAACCCTGTACTACAAATGGATACCAACCCTTTCCTTGTATGAGTACATCCCCAATTATAAAATACTTATTCCTTTATGAAACTTTTAGGTTTCTGATGTTGTTGTTACAAATATGCTACAATTAATACAATTGCTTTTAAGCCTCTATGCACATTGCAAATTATTTTCTTATGACAATTCCCCAGGAAAGAAATTAGTGATTCAATGACATAAATATTTAAAGCCTCTTAATAAAAAAATCGTGAAACTGTTTTCTAGATATATTGTTTACTTACTTAAAAGTAATTTACAGAATGTCTGAGTGAAAAGTGACTTAAAGCCTGTAGATGTTGAGAATGTATTAATAGACAGAGATGAATGCATAAAGTAACTATGTTTTATAAACTTATTAAAAGCCCTAGAACAAATAATTATATCTTGCTAAATGATAAATTTATTTTTATTATTACATTTTATGTCTCAAAATAATCTAGATTTTGCATAAGCTAACAAGCCATGTATCTCTTGAGTTCACAGGAGATATATTCGAGGCACAGTTAACCTTTTTTGAAGTCTCATTTATTGCAAATGCATTCTGTCAATATATGCTTTTTGTGTATGTGTTCTTAAATTTTCTTGTGCTAGTCATACTTCTTAGATATTATGAATTTCTGTCTTATAAAGGAGGCTTAATTTGTCTTGACAATTCTTGTGTTAATTCTTAAGAATTCCGGTTAGTCCAGGATAGGTTTGGGAAAATGTTCTTTTGCTTTTTCTTCTTGAGACTTTGTAGTTATGGCTTTTATAGATAAGTGATTCAGGTCAGATTAATTTTGTGCATTGTGTTAATTACAGCTTTTCAGTCATTTAAAATGTTTTAGCAAACATTTAATTTTAGATTTATTTTCAGGATAACAGGTTAAAAGTAAAGAGAAATAGAAAAAGAGGAACATTTCCTGTTCCCCATGCAGGAAATGGGAGTGAAAGACTCAAAAATGATGGTTTTCCCAAATATTATGCTGTGTGTGTGTGTGTGTGTGTGTGTATGTGTGTGTGTATGTGTGTGTATGTGTGTGTATACCAGGGCATGAACTCTCTCTTGTGCTCTCTTTCAACTTTCTTGTGCATAGCTTGAAAGCTCTACTTCTTGAGTCACACCTCCAGTATCACTTTTTGTTGGATTTTATATTTTTGCTCATTAGTTAGAGACCAACTGTGGTAGATTATTTTTCCCCTGCACCATGATTGTCAAAATTACTTCCTGAGTAGCACTCAGCTACCATCCATTTTTGGAAAGTATTTATCCTTTTTATTTCCTTCAGCACTGTTGAATAAACTTCCTTGTTTTCTGTTATCACCTGCCTCTGCCCTTCAATTTTGTGCAGATATTTTTCTAAGTTCTGTTCTTTGATTGGTCCATTCCCATGGCCCGTGTGTCAGATCTACAAGGTCCTGATTGCTTTAGCTTTATAGTAAGTCTTCAATCTGATGGTATAAATCATTCCACTTTGTTCTTCTGTGAGCATTATGATTCTTCTGAGCTCTTCTTCATTTTCCTATGAATCTTATAATGTTTGTCAGTCTCACAAAACTTAGAATTTGCAAAGGGATTGCACTGACTATGCAGATACACTTTGGGAGAATTGAGATAATACTACCAATACT